TATATATATATATATATATATAACTAGACGAACCTTATGGTTGTACGGCAGTGAAGCATCAGTGCCAACACTGATGTTGCCGTCTTTGATGATGATGATGATGACGATGACATTCCAATGCTCTTGTATTTGACCTGGTGATGGTATTGTATTTTTTCCGTCCAGTTTTTACAAGTTCCGTGTGGTACAGTTTTGGTCAGCCATACAGAGTGACGAAGGGTGGATTATATACTTAGTCCAGACAGAAATATCCTGCTTAATCTTTCGATGAGTTGCACCCATCTTATCGGAAGCCTTTACGATTTCGAGAGAAAATCATATGCAGGCTTCGGTAAACAAAGAGCAATGGAAAACAATTTTATAATGCTTGAGATAACAGACGTGATGTTGAATGCTTCTGCTCCGGTCATTTCTAACGGATGGGGTCTGTGGAATTTTTATTCTCTGTTGACTCTTACACGCCTATTTTATGTAGGCACTGTGAATCCGAACTCAGTGGAATGATCGAACAAAGAGATGAATATAAGCGTGCGCTGCAGCAGCTGAATCGCGCATCCACCCCCAGGTGAGTTTTCGTGCTTTTATACTACTGTTAAAGACAAAAGTGGTATAAATTCAGGGGCGATTCTCGTTTCTCTGAGGGCAGCTACATTGTTTCGCGTCCATAACATTGGAGCTACTTCAGACGCTCAATGGGGCCGAATTTATACCCACTATGATAAATGGATCACCAATTCCTGATATTTACTGCGTACATTTACTTCTGAATACTATAAAATGGAAACTAATCAATCTAAGTCCGTATATGACCTGATTTTGCACTTATGAAGAACCGCACACTCTTCGTGCAGTCTACCGAGACTATAATCGTGTTCAATAAATCACTTCAAAGAACATTACTTGTATCAGAAGAATTTTCAAAATAGCTTACGTAATACTTGGTGGAAGATAAGTTTGTGAGGAAAGCCTCTTGGAGTGAAAATGTGAACTCGTTACCACAACTCATTTCCAAATACTCCTATAAAGAATTTTTGCCTTCCCGGATCCTTAAAAGTTGAAGAAGGTAAGGAATATGAGGAGGTTGCCTTATTCTGTATCGGCTTGTACAAAAATCCATCTGAACTCTCCCCGCTATTCCGTAGAGGAGGCAACGCTTTTTCAATTGTTGGAGTACTCAAACATCAGGAATGAAGACATCGCAGGTTAAACCGAGCACCTGTCTTTTTGTTTCGCACAAATGTTATCTCATGTTTTGGCTGGATCTCAGAACGCTTTCGTACCAAATATTCGTTATATTGTCGGCCAAGATTTTTCAACAGCCCACTGTCCGTTTACTAAGTTCGGAGTTTCTCAAAGACGCAGGCCCCGACCTTGCACATTTTGTTTGTCTCATAAGTAGTGTCTATCTGGGAAAATAGTTGAAGCACACTGTGCCAAGATATGAACCGTCCCAATGCGCATCAACTTACTGCTGTTTAAACTCACGTTGTTTTGTGGCTGCCAGACTTGGCGACAGTTGGTGGAACACACGAGAGACTTCTGATCTGTGAATATCCTTGTGAATAGGATCATCCGGAATCACAGGATTCTCAGTGTGGTGCTCATGAAATGGATCTATAGTAAAGAAACGGATAATTCACTCAAGGACTGCATCTGTCAACACAAGCTATGGTGGCCGGGCCATGTGTTTTACATTCCAAGGAGAGTGTTGTTTCCTGTGCCGCGGAAGCCTTGAGTCGTGCAGAAACTGACGTGGTAGAGAGGAGGGGCTGTTTGTCTTTAAGGAAGGGATCCACATGCCTCTGTTTGTGTTTAGCTGGAGGCGTAAAACGAGCTTCCCCGTTGACCCATGTCAGTGGTTTTTATACTATCGATTTTTGTCAGTGTTAGAGGCTCAGGCACGCGATAAGACTAGTAGTAGGTAAAGCGCCTTGTCCCGTATTTCTTGAACTACAAGACGTTATTCAAATAAACTGACGTCATTGTACAGCGATGAAACACTTGTGTTCCTTGATGGAACTGCTGTCAATAATGTTAATGATTATTATGGCCATGGTCACGATGATCGTGATGATGATGATGAGGAGGAGGAGGAGGTGGAGGAGGTGGATGATTCGTACCTACCGTCCTCATATCAAGATGGAATGCCCCACTTTTAAGATTTTCAGTTTCTGATGGAAAGTAACCATGGAAAGCGTTCTCGGATGTTGGGGATTATAATGCATTTCAGATCGAGTTACGGACGACAATAATGGAGAATTCCATTTAACTGACTGGTTTTACGTAACGCGCTTTCAGTCGGTTGTGCTTCCACAACCCAATACATTTTGATAGGTCAGTCACTACAGGTTGCTCAGAATCAAGCAGTTCTAACAGCCATGAGAAATCACAGACATTCGGGCGATCATCAATGCAATCTCTTGAAGACGTTGGAATTATATAGTGTATTCGATTACATAAGAGAATCCCATTTGTCAGAGAAGCGACTACGTTTATAACAGGAATAAAATGTTTCATTTTACTCCACACAAACAACTGACAGGATAACTATAAATGTTCATAGAATTACCAGGTGCTATGTATGACTTATTAATAATCCCGTATTTTTCATACTTTAGTCTCATGGATTGTTTTCTAGTTTTTGTTTTAATCTATTGAGCTGTGGTTATCCTATTCTCACTTCGTTACAAATGGCAGTCACAAAACTGGGCCTTCTAATTTCCCCATAAAGAAGAAATTTTATATGGTTGACAAACTTGTCTCAAATTCTTTCCTATCGTGGACCTTGGGTTCCAAGGAGCTGCAACAACGTTACGCAAAATATATTCTATGACGACTAATGTTATACCGGGGTTGTTCACTGAAATCCGCTCAAATATAAAGAGTCAACTTCGTTACCAATTTCCCGTGATCCATCATTCTGAGAAATGAATTGTGTTTTTCTTCACGACTCCGAATTCATCATCAAATTTTCCGGTAAAGTACCCAGTTTCGTATAGAAGCGGAACTGTAACAGCCTTGAAGAAGGAGTGTTTATGAACAGAGAACGTCTTTAATAAGTTCAGTTGCCCGTTTCAAACTTTCGATCCTTGGAATGGCACAGACAGTAGTTGGGCCATAGTCCCTGAAGTGATCGGGGAAAGACAGTACGAATGTTGAACAACAGGCATTGTTTTTGCCTGAAGCCCGATTAGCGATGAACCAAATAAAACCCCGAGGAGTTCATTGTATCTGAATCACAAAGTACCTTCACACGGATCAACATTAGGGATAATCTCAGGAACAAGCTTCAAATTAGCTGTGTATGCTTCATCGAATAGACTGTTAAGTCTACGACATGTTTCATTTCATTGAATTTTCAGGCCCCACTGGGACGAAGTCGGGAGAAGCTTACCTTGTGGGCTATCAAAATGGAATGAGGAAACTCATGGAATGTCATCTCAACAGAAGATGCAATATTTGATCAGAATAATGACGAAGAAAACGAGAGATGTTGAGGATGGCCCAAAGCAACTGGAATCAAAGGCAAGTAGTCAGACCAATTGCTACGAGGAAGAGGAGTCATTTGATGAACTCGTCGAAGGACGAACAGAAACCATTATAGGGGGTATTTTCTAGTCGAGAAATTTTTATTTTTCATCTGAACTGTCTTCCATATCGGACCATTTTTTTGAAAAATTATGTACTCGATCTAGTATTTATCCGCGACCCTCAAATGAGTAACGATTTTGCAGATGCTCTCAGCCTAGAATAAACTAGGTAACATGCCTACATTTCTTCGAATACACTGTCCGATTTTCAAATACAGTTAAAGACCACAAAAGTGATGTTCGGCTATTATATTCGGTTATTTTTGTACAGTTAGAGACCAGACAGTTAGAGAGACCAGCCCTAAAAGCCAGCTAAAAGTTGTCTCTTTTTAGTACCGGTTTCTTACAAGATACATGTATCAAAAAACCTTGTTTGCAGTCCAAATTCATTGTCTTATCCTTATGTTCCAGGGGGTTGATGAAAGTGTTCCTCGTTTCTTACGCTGCGAGGACCCACAGGTGTTCAGGCGAACACTTCAGTTGCGAGACTGCTTACTACTGACAGATGAAATCTGGAAGCAACGTAAACAAGAGAAAGAAACTTACAAGGTGCGAGGCTGTGGTCGATTTCAGCATATATTTGTACATCCTTTTGAGCATGGTCAAAAAGTGTCATCAGGAATTTTCACTGGAGAGCAAGCCTTATGAATGTTTGTGACTGATACGTCGACTTGAATCCCGGAGTGTTTTGGTCGGAACTCTGAATTTTGTACCAGCGTCTGTACGAAATAATAGCCATGGACGGAGTAGCACGTTAATATTGAGCACTGTCTCTGTTGTGACTCCGATGAATCTCTCTGACTGTGCAAAGACACTGATTTCTCTGTAGGCTTCTAGAATGAAAGGTATAAGTCACATGGACACACCGGGAGGGGTAAGTATGTATTACCTATTAGGTGCAGTAAACGTCGTAAAAATTACTGGGAATGAAGACGATGGCGAGACAACTCCAGTTAATTTATCAAAGCGCTTGCAGATACCCAAACAAAAAAGAGAAATTCTAAAGGTACGCTCTTTCATTCTATGTAGAATAGAACAGAATCGAACAACCGCTGAACCAACGAAAGCTTAATTTGGCTTAAACAACTTTTGAGCGTTCGTAGGCTGTGCGATCATCACCGTGAATGACAACAAGCTGGCCACCGACTTGAAGTGATCCCTCTGTGTTTCACGAACAAAACAAGATCAGCTACCACTGACGACATGTTGTTTCACAAGGTGACCTACAGCCGAAAATATCCGTTCGTGTGAGTAGCAGTAAAGAGGTAATTATTCTCCGGTTCACTCAGGAAAGTTTCGCTCATAAGCTGGCTTAGATACAAGAGTTTGAATTCATTATGATACTGTTCTCAAGAAGCAAATATTCAAGGCGAGTTTCTGCCTCTCGACTTCCCCTGTCCAGGCTTGGGTCTGGCAGTACCCCAGCTCTCGCGCTTCCTACGGATGGCATGGCATCCAGGCACCGAAAGGGTGTTGCAGCTGAACAGTTGTTATTTTTTAGTTCTGCTTTGTCTGTGCCAGAGAAGGTACTTGAATTCGCTTCGTTGCTTGAATATCAACGCCATTTAGACCTAAGTGTTTTCTCACCTCTCTTATCCATGGTGTTCTGAATCCAGAAAATAGGCGCTCCAGTAAATAAACCAAAACAAGTAGATAGCTACCGCAACCCCTGTGTTTTTGCCTGAACAGTCATTCCTCATTTTCTTGCAACGACAAGCAATTTTAATGTGATCATTCAGTTTACCTACTTTGTCCTATTTCCTCAGTGAACCATGATTTGCTTGACAGCAGTGCTTTTGCTTTTTATCTCACAACTTTGTAGCTGGCCCAGCCTAGATGTTTAATTATAATTTTGTCGACAAAATGACGTGCCCCCAGGCAACTATATGAGAAGGCTCACACTTGGTTGCTACCCACTAAAAGCATGCGACCAGATTATCAGACTTGGTCAGCCGAGTTCAAGCCTAACCAGTGTCTACATCCGTGTTGACCACACTGTGACCAAGCTCTTCCAGCTAGTATTTTTACCTTAGCAGGCCCTCTCTTGTGTTGTCCCGTGACACCCTGTCGGGTCTATTTAGTGGAAAACTGACCTCACGCATTGCTCCGTATGACCGTCTGACTGCCATGCAAGAAGGTTCTTAATTAAACAGTCTGCTGAAATGAAATGTAATTGTAAAAACCTAACCCTTCTACGCTTTTCTTATCACCGACATTCAGCTTCTCCTTGTTCCAGCTCACCGGATCAGTTCACAATTAGCGCAACAATTTGAAACATTTTTCAATAGAGACTCTATCCTCAAGTGAAGTCAGCCTTTGTTGAAATGCGCGGAAGAATTATGCAACTGTTTTGTCCTTATTGAGAAGCATCTTCAGTGAAGATCTCACATATCCACAGAGCGGTACTATGCAACAGCTCTGTTGGGAAAGCTTTTAGAAATTTATCATGCTATCAACAATTTGGCACTTATTTTTACTGTCCACTGTCTTGTGGGTGTGCAGTCTCAATATGATCCACCCTATTCGGACAAAAGCATAGAATTCAGTTCAGTTCATTGTATCGATGTCTTGTTTATTTTACTGTTAATGTGCACAGGAACCTGCGAATGTGCGACGCCGTTCCGTGGTACGCAGACGAATGTCACAGGTAATGCTCCACGTCGTCTTCACCAGCAAGCATATCAACCACCCTACCCCCTGCACCCACAAATATGGCTCACTAACTGCACGCACCATGATATGTGTCTGTGACTTGTCCTACGCACAATACTTGCTTACAGTAAACACACGCAGGACCCGCATTTCGGTTTCGGCACTATTTATACATCACCTGATCGTCTGAGGAACGGTTACTGATTCCAGTGTAGCCAGTCACCTGAATTTATCTAACTTCCAAATGGACCCGGTCATGTTGCTGATGCTGTGGGTAATGTTACCAGTAATCTTTTCAGTAAACGGGGTTGTTAAGGTGTTGGGCAAACCAATCAGATCGCTAAAGCATGAACATCTTCGTCTGTTTAGACTTGATAAGTCGGGTGAGTCGAGCGTGTGCTGGTGAAACACTGATGACGCGCTCACCTGTATGTTAGATGTCCTGGGCCGGCCAAGACTGTCCACCACATGTGAGCTCTAAACTCGAGTCTGGTACTTCTCCCCTTTTATGTAAATCTATCAAGATAATTACGGCAGAACTGGAAAAGATAGTAGTGTGAAAGCGAATATCATAACCACCGCTTCGGAGAATCCCTCGCAGAATCAAATGTATTCAGTATAACAGGAGGCTTTTTGGCGTACAAGTAGACTATGAGAGTAACTATAAGAAATTTAGCAGGCCTAAACACAACTGACCATAGCATGGCTCTAGTCTGAGTTCGTCACTGGAACCCCATGCCTATTCCCTAAAGTCTAGATCCTATATACTATTTGGGCACACCACAACCTTACGTGTGATGATATCAAGTATGTGCTTTGTGAACATGTGCCCGGCAAATCACTGTCAATACCTTCTTGCAATATGTGCTATGTAATGTGAGGACTTATAATCATATTGCCAAGCGGACCCATTATAAGTAATGATTTCGTCCCACGGATACGTGATCGTGGGTTGCACTGGGATCACCAGGCGAGTTTGCACACTTGTGTGAAAATAAGTGTGAGCAAGTGAACATATCCACCATCGATCAGACGTCTTACTGGTTCGAATTGAATCTGACTTCAGTGATTCTCGGTGTTGCTTGGTGTCGTGAAACATTCATAGATAATTTGCTATGGCACTCAAATAGACTAGCATCCTTTATTTCGCCAGCATACCAAAACAAACCGAAAAAGATTTTATGTGCCAACAGGGTGAAAAGTTGGTGTTACAAAAACTAAAGCAATTAACAAGAGTCGAAAAAACAGGAAATAACGTGGCGAAATCGTCAAAACAGCGTCATTTGAAGCAGCAACGATGAGAGGCCATTAGCTTAGTAAGTACGCACAATATAGGACAGTGTGCTGTTCCTGTTCTTCCTCGGTAGATATGTAGATGAATGTTTGAACTTGATATGCCCGGTGTAATAATATCAGCCAAAAACTTCGTCAAAAACACTAATGTAATAATCAGCTTTCCAAAGAGGAATTCGACACTAAAGTGATGATTCGTCTATTGAATTAAGCCAGACACATTGGGGGTGGTGCAATCGAAATACAAACGTATTTTTGGGAACCCTGGAAAGGTGCTAAAGTACAAGGAGTCAGTGGTGATGATGTTAACAAAAAGGAGACGATATCTAATCCGTCAGACCAGATACAGTTTCCACAAGTTCGGCTCAAAAGTGGTGTCTAACGAAGAAGGACTTTTGGATCATTTCGTTGTCAACAGGAAAGAAGCAGAGCTCAATCAAGAGGACTTTCCAAAGCAAGTTAAATGAAACCTCAAGATTTTTAAAAGTATTCAACTGTAAGAACTCGTATTAGATCAGTTAAGTAGTCCAGTGGAGTTCCTTAGAAGTAAGGAGGATGAGTGTGCACAAAATTTCAGCCAAGTGAAAACTTGACCCTATCTCTGCGTTGGTGCCATATTCTAGAAAATCATTAAAGATAACAGTAATCATTCAGTTACGAAACGCTTTTGGTTCCAGGTGCCATGCCATCCGAGGGAAGTAGGATGGTTGGACACTGCCAGAGTGGTGTCTAACGAAGAAGGACTTTTGGATCATTTCGTTGTCAACAGGAAAGAAGCAGAGCTCAATCAAGAGGACTTTCCAAAGCAAGTTAAATGAAACCTCAAGATTTTTAAAAGTATTCAACTGTAAGAACTCGTATTAGATCAGTTAAGTAGTCCAGTGGAGTTCCTTAGAAGTAAGGAGGATGAGTGTGCACAAAATTTCAGCCAAGTGAAAACTTGACCCTATCTCTGCGTTGGTGCCATATTCTAGAAAATCATTAAAGATAACAGTAATCATTCAGTTACGAAACGCTTTTGGTTCCAGGTGCCATGCCATCCGAGGGAAGTAGGATGGTTGGGACACTGCCAGGTTGCTTAGGCCTAGACAAAAGCAGTCAAGATGCTAACGTTGGTTACGAACAACGGACAGTAAATTGGGATGATGGGGAACACCATAGTTATCTGTGAGAACTGCGAACTTCTAACCACTTGTGCACACACAGGGTCCTGTTTCGTAAGTGATCATGGAGGTACTTGGCTGCATTCCCATTAACATCACATTGAGAAAGACGATTAAGTAAGTTTCGTCTCGATAGCAACAAATGCGGGGATTCGTATGCAAATTTCCTACATCTTGAATTGTAGCGTTAACCTACATAAACTCACTGGCTTTTCCTAAAAAGTGAACCTCCGTGGGCTGCTTAAAATACGTTAGAATCCGTGAATTAGTTGAATCACGAAAAAATTGATGTTGTGGGATTTTGTGGGACAACCGGCTGGCGAATTTCCCAAAAAGAATGCTCTTATAAAGACACACTGAGATAAGTCCTGGAGTTCCTAATGGAGCCAATTACATGTAAATTGATAGAATGTGCCACAGCAGTTAGTACAGTCACCGAGTAATAGACTGGCTGGTTCCCGCAGCAGCCTGTAACTCGGCGACTTTAGACCGCCATTGCTAATTTGCACGCTGCAGCTTTATTCAGTCCAGCTAAATTAATTCTTCAGGCAGAGTTCTTGCGAGATTAATCCGGCACCTTGAATGCCCCGTATTTGTCAGCCAAACTAGGAAGCATTTTGATTGGTGGTTCGAGAACGATCCCCGATAGCGCGTTTGAAATCCATTCAAAACGTACAATCATTACAAAACAAGGCACTTTTCCGATTATCCAGAAACCGGAATTTGTACTGATCCTCCGAAATTAAGACGGTAATAGTGATTATGGTCGATGCAACAAGTTTCTGAGAATTGAGTCTCGTAGCAGCAATTCGGGATGCATTATCCATCCATTGAAGTCAATGTGGAAGACGCACACATATTCAGAACACCGGAACAAGCAAAACTACTGACGCTGAAGCCCCAGTCGTCAGAATATAGCCCTAACATCTAGCGAATGAACAGACTGAATGGTTCCGGATCGTCTACGCACCCTTTTAGCAAACCTCACACTGCCGGTTACGATATGCAAGTGGAAAAAGAACTGTGCAATCGCTGATTGCAAACAGCTAAGCAATCCCTTGCCAAATACATGCAATGATTGATTTTGTGGACCACATTTCTGTGCGCTGCTGCTGTGAAGCTCCTTGTCGATCGCGACAATAAAGTGTAGTAGGGCAAGATCGCTTTAATCCACTTATTGGCATGTACTGTGCATTGAAACTTATGCACTATTTTGTTTGATTATTTCCAAAGACGGTTTGCCTACTACGTGCTTTGGAAGCAACAATGTGATGGAATATTTATCAGTGCGAAGGATTTCTTGAAAATTTAGCTTTTTGAAGCATGCCGCTTTGACAGGGAAGAATTGTCCAGAAAACCTACTTCCTGTACCCCCGGCTTCCTTTTTCGGAATACTTCTATCTGGGTTTTCCTCTTGCGCTCATCTTCCGCTGATCGTCAAGCTAACATGAAGGAGTTGGTAGACTGCATCATGTCTAACTGCGAGTTGCTGATTCTTGTGCCACTGGATATCGAAACGATGACCAGCTTGTTTGAGTACCGCGTTCAGGCAGTTAAACTTTGGCTTTTGTTTAGCTCTCCACCCATGTAAGCAGCTCAACCCATTTGCCAAAGTATAAATGTCGTTGCCCAAATGTTATTGTGCGACCTTGAGGCTCGCGATTTCCATGACACTATTGGTTAATACATTTTGTACCACTGTTACTGATATAGAGTTGATCGATATTTTAAAAATAAACATGGCAACATCTGGAACAGAACAGAACAACTCCGTACTTCAATGCCTGTTTTGGTGATTCCTTGTAAACGCGGAAACGGTGGACTTCAGTTCCGTTTCTGATTTTCCTTAGGAGGACCTCGTCACAATTGGGGTCAGGGCTGTCAGGAATATCATGTATCTTACTGACGAATTAGATGGAGAATTGTACACCAGCTGCTCAAGGTCAATTTCAGTATGAAAAAACGTTTTTGTAATGGGCCTTGGTTGTCTCTAAATGGTGCAAAATCCATACCTTCCTCATCTGCCCAAGATAAGACCATCACTTTGAGAGTAGAAAAAATGTTTTTGGTGGTCGCAGATTTACCCCTCACAGAATTATGAACCGTCTGCTAAGACAAATTACTGCGTGTGCCGGTGGCTTTACTTAGGGTTCAGCTAGATATCTATTGAAGTGAATGAGTTTTCCGTAAAGTCGGAATGTCCTTCTATTTGGAGACGGATTTGTCCGGTTTAGCTAGTTTTTCCGACGATCGTTCCTGTCCACCGTGGGGTCAATCGCTTGGTTATCAGTGGGATACAAAGTAGCGCCTGACTCAAACAGGTCTAAGTCTGCAGGAGCTGGAATTTTGGTGTCAAAGATGTTGAGTTTCAGTTCTGCAATACGATTAAGAAGCAAAAAGGGTGAGATTACACGGTGGGCCGGAAAAATCTGTCTTGATTTACGGGTAGTTAAGAAACTCCATTTGCCTCTGATAATGATGAAGTAGATCAATTGGGCATTTTTGGAAAGTTGGTAAGTTCACCCACTTCATCTTCTGTGCAAAAAATCGCTTGATGGGAGTGCCCACATTTGAGGACTCAGAACCAGGCAGCTTATGAAGAGGTAGCCGAAATTCCAAACAAAGGAGAACTTCCTTCATTCGACTGTGAACCGGCCATTCAGATTTAACATACAGCATATTTACTCCAGTCTTGGAAGCGTAAGAATTTCGCGATATTCTGGTATAGATGAGCTCGAATTGCGTATTTCATTGAAACAAGCAAATACATCTTAGATAATGTTAATCCTCATGCGGTTTTCCTAAAGTTTAATCTTTGAACCATGAAGCGTCCAAGAGATGTATTTTCAACGGAACCGTCTCGAGGATTTCGAGGCAATGCACCCAAGTGTTTCTGTCCATGAGAACAACACCTTGCAGTAGCAGTTGAGTCACTAAACGTTTCAGATAATTTTAGCAGAAAATTGCAGCCTATGTAGGCGTAGCACAAGAGGAACCAACAAGATAGTCACACCACGGCTCTTTTGCTACCCAGAACATATTCAGTCATTAGCTCGTGGACGCTAGAGGTAATCCCATTTTGTCTAGTGTCACCCATGGTATCCTAATTACGAAAGAACCGCCTATCTAATACAGTCGGTAACGTGAGAGCGACTTTTTACTTTTATAAGGGTGAATGGAGGGTGATTTTAGAGCTTGGGTTCTGCAACATGTACACTTGCTTAGCGCGTGCTTCACCCTCAGGGCAAAGTTGGGTCGTGCCTGTGGGCCGAGTGCAAACCAACAGTTTGGCTTCAATTGATGAATTTTTTGTAACGTGCTGGTGGATCAGTCATAGTCACCGACCTCGAATGACTTACACCATTTTCCTTTGTGCACGTAATGCACAATCCGGATTGGGACGAATCCTCCATCCATTAATATAAAGTTTGATCAAAACTGTATGTTGGAAAAATCATAGAGCCGATTTCACAACCGCATATTTATATCTGCTGAAGCTTCTCAGTTAAATACTTTTCTAGTGGAAATTTGATCGTAAAGTTTCTGTCTGCTCGAGGTGTAAGAGAGAAAACCACTCCTAGGGATCGATTCATGAATAGGACGCTACTGAAGGCGCACGACAGGTTGGAAAAACTCCACTGTGTTCCAGAAAGATTCGGAATTTCCTTCTAAAACCTACAGCAGTAATGGTACCTCAATGAAAACGACTTCGTTTCATGTGTTCAGCGCGCAATTTCGTCATACACACCTCAGTGGCGGTCACAGAAGTGTTTTGCTTTGGTGCTTAAGTTTTGCAAGTCTATGCAAGTTCACTCAAGCACGGAAGAATGACCCAAATTTATCAACAGCCTATTGCTCGGATCATCCACCTCCGGGTTCTTCTGATGCCTAGTGCCCGATTTTTCAACTGTTCGAATACCAGCTCAAGTGAAATTCAAAACAGTCTACTCGGAATATTTAGTAGAAAAACTACGTGTGAGAGATATTCACTCGATGTCCGTTTTATTATAGCCCAAGTGAGGTATAACCTTAGTTAAAAACACAAGTTTATGCTCAAAAAGCTGTGTCAGTGAAAAAGAAAACGTGGATCAGTTCATCCAAATTCGATAGCAGTAGAAGCCGTTGTGAAGATGGCACGTAGGCACCAGTTTATGTATGCTTCACACTAATTGCATCAATCGTCTCCACCCTGTAATGGCTCAGTCTTCTTTATCTTGCGTGAGAAAAATACATTGTCAGTCTTTTTAGCTCCTTGGCTAAGTGTTCAACCTAGGATGACCCAGTGGCACCGAGATGAATTTAAAGAGCCCGTTACGTTTCCGGCTTATTTTTTAAATTAAAAACACCAGCTTCAAGCGGGAGAGTAAAACCAACACTCTTCGTAAGTTACTTCGATTTTTCTCCTTTTATTCACCCAGACACAACTTGAACTTCCCTACAAATTTGCGGTTTTAAATTCTCAGCCTGTTTAACTACATGTATGAAGTTCTGAGGGAAGAACAAAGCATTCAGAGCTTTGAAGACGTACACTTTGATGAAACATGGACCGAAGTTGGCAGTCGAACATAACTTTCGTTCCAAACAACCGAGAACGAAAACTATACTTTATGACTCCAGCTTGAATATTACACGTCACCATACTCTGGCCATGCACTTTTGAGAGCTTTTGTCCAGTAACCGAGTTCTCATGCCATTTTAGGCCCGTTTTACCCCAGCACCAGCGATGTCTAAACCCTCAGTAACCAACTGGAGACCGTTTGATGAGTTTTTGGAAAACTTCTTCACCCAAGTCTACGGTATCCCAAGAATCCGTTTGGAATGGGCTTATACCTATAACGAAGCAATTACAAATCACAAAGATTATTTGTCACTGCACGAAGTAAAATGTATAATCGACAATGAGGTAAGCTTGGCTTTCAATACTAACAAACTGTTCACAATCAGCTTGATGAAAACTGCCACTGGCATTTGTTCACGTGGCTTGAACAAGCTGAAAGGCTTATCAGCGGTGTTGCTACAGGTGATTCACAATAGTAATCTCATCAATTTGTTCCAGACATTTCAGAAGGCGAAGAAACTGAACTCTTGGTGGTAAGCCGGGACCAACTACAAGCGGTTCTCTACGAACTTACTGGCGCACAGTTTGAGTCAAATATTGAAAGCTTGTTGGAAAAGGCAACTATGGTGAACGGAAAGGACATGGAAGCTCAGAGAAACGAAAATAGCAGTCAGTTGGATAAGAAGATACTGATTGATGTGAAAGCACTATTTTTTAAAGTATGTATTGTAGATGAGCAGATAATCAGACCGAACAAATCTGTGAAATTACTGAGGAATGACTGCTTCTGCTGACTTAGAATAAACTCCTCTAGACTTTAAGTGGAAAATATGGACAGGGAACGACGTCTGCCTCATCGTCACATTCTGCAGCTTCAGATGACAGGAAAGATCGGGGAAGTGCTGAAATGGGGTGTCCGAACTGAAGCTATAGTCTGAAAGACAAGGCCTTGTATAGCTGAAACAGGCTACCTTATTCTAGGCAGCACACAACTGTCTTCGACTAGATGGGATACGGGACTCACTCCACGAAAAATCCTGGCGAATACAAAGTTTGACATCGAATAAACAAGGCACGAGAGTAGAATTATAGACGCTTTTTGAAAAGAAGGGACAATATGCATGAATAGCGGAGTAGTAGAAAATGAACACTGAAGCTGCCAGATAAGTTTGGTGCTTGACTTTCAGCTGAGCTGTGGCTCAACATATGGTAACTCAAAGTAGTTGAAGGTAGCGTTTCATCCCTATATTTTCCTGGTAAAAGTAAGCTTCGTCAGATATTCCATCCAACTGCCTGGACAAGGCGTTTTTCATCCCTGCTGTCCATCAGAGAAGGATTGATGGTCGATAACGTGCTATCGCCCTACTCAAAGGCTCGGATTAGGAAGATACAATGTTTTTGTCTCGGACGAATGTTTCTCCATCGACACGACGCAGTTTTGTTTGCTTCTGGGGTTTGGGAAGTGGTAAACACCAAATGGCTCAGCTCATCTAGACTGGATGCACCCAGATGCCAAAATGATCTCTTTCGATATTCGTGTGTGAGTGCCAGAATTTGTTATCTAATGCACAACGGTCGAGTAACTTTTTTGTCGTCTATATATATTAGAATAGAAGGCGCAAGTTACGAAAATTTACCATGAAAACGCGTCCTAGAATAACAGGAAAAAAGTGGTAGCAAGTGGGACCTCTAGAGTTATCGTGTCACCCTACGTTTCTTACTTGTCTGTTTCGGTTTCCTTCCATTGAGACTGTTCCAGCTGTAAAAAATCCAACTTAATATTGACGTGGGTGTATTCTTCGCGGAAATATCTGCCAATTTGACTGGCGAATTCATGCTGATGGTACAGACCGGTTCCAGTGTTTTTTCCTTGAATGATAAACCAGCCATTCGAAGAATCCCAACTACATAGGTCCACCTCCTCGAGGAACACCTTCATGGGAACAAATCCACACCAGTTAAACTGCATACTTGGTGGGAAAAGAAGCGTCTACTCTGTGTCATCTGCCATGCATGTCTGTCGACTCTGAGTAGTTCCGACTGGTGCAATCAGCTAATGCACTGCTTGTTATACCTAACAGTTAGACAAGAACTGTTGCTTGGTTTATCGTCCCTATCACTTAAGCTGCAATCGTTTTATGGTCCACAACAGCAAATAAGACCGTCGTGTGACAAACCAAGGGCCAACTAATTGATATATCCAAGGTTATCCGGCTTAACTGTAGGAGTATAAGTAGCTTCCCTTTATAACAGAATTTAATGGACAGACCTGTCAGTCCGGTTAGTCGAAACAAAGGTACGCATGCGTGTTGTCTACATTTCGGGAATTTGTCCATCTGTTCGTGCACCGTCTGTAATTCGCATCCATATTTGTTATCCGACCTCCGACAGTACAAGTTTACATCATCACGCACGCACGCACGCACGCACGCAGTGCAGTTGAGTGCCACATGGTCCGAAAGCCTAGCACGTGTTAAAATTCAGAAACACACAGAAAAAAGCCGTCTGAGAAATTGGTGAACTCACGTCTTGCAATCGTTTTAGAGAACCCAGACCAATACTCCTACAGTGGTGACTCAGGTAAGTTTACGATGCATTGGGTAGTTATAATTTCAAAGACAACACCTGGGTCACCCACTACATGGATGTCACCCGTGGGGCACACATCTCACAATGTACCTTCCTACTGCGTCAACGAAAAAAATGATATGCTCCGAATCACCGATTACAGAAGACTATATGAGCGCTCCATTTGGGAAGGTTTTTTGTAAACGTGTGTGAGTGATGAACCTAAAGTTGACATTCGGCATCAATAAGTGTCAGCTTGCCTCGTTTCCAGGTGACTGGCCTATCAGCGGTTCTGGTCAACTGACCACAGAAAGAGTCCTCGTGTTGCTGGTATCGTAGGAAAGAAAGACATGTTTATTGCATTAGAGCAGTCTACCATCTGTCTGTGTCATTTCACGTTATTCACGATGTTCATAAGTTGATCTTCGAATATCAGAGCAATTGTCTTTTTTAAAGAAAGGTTTGATAATTTCTGCCTTAAACCACAAAAAGAACTGACCATGAGCTGCTTGGGGATTTTCTCTCTACTTCATGTGAAGTCTCGTACAAACCTTTTGCGAGATTTGTTAGATACACATTGTCCACGAGCTCCAGTAAGGATGAAATTTTTGTGGGATATTTCACAAAGCTTGTGCCCAGACAGATCTTCAAAACGTGTGTTTGTGATTCCACCGAGGACGTATTGAGCGGGGATCCGTTAGGGAGTTGGTGTATATATGTGAAACAAGCAGGGAAATTTTCTAACTAATTACTGATAATTTCATAACGTCACCTTGGTAACCGATAGATGGTTGATGAGATTCCAAATAATCGATGGGAACATCTGTGCTCTTTTTGGGCATAAACTGACCAAAAAGAAATCCGTACCCAGTTCACAAGCGCTAGAGGCAGACAATGTAATGGTGGTGCGTTGTGGGTAGTTTGCACGTCCGTTCATGTGTTTTAGACAGCTCTGACTCTCGTCCAGGTAGATAACACATCCCAAACTCATACAGAACTCAAGTGGTTTGGCTTTGAATACTCCAACCTTCTTTGCCAGGCCGGTAGCATTTGGTATTGCAAACTCCTTTATTTTCAGTGCACTGTACCAAATGTTATTTTACTGCGTTTTGTTTTAATCTGACAAACTGCACTGTAGTGATTTAAATAGCTGCCTTTTGTTTGTACGAAAGGCCTGCCCCACCACTTGGAAGCAAAAACTTCTCCGTTCGTTTTCAATGTTCTCTCAACCAGTTAAACGATAGTGGATTTGATCGTACTGCGTCTCATTCTGTTTGATTAATTTGATCATGTTGCACGCATAGGAACATAAGCGTACGTACAACTGACTCACCTTGACACTCTAGACATTCCATAGTTTAAAGCTTGTCACAGTGCCAGAGATGATCCTCTGTGACCATTGCAGACTAGCACTAGCTAGCCATGCGTGTGCTCTGGGTGGGCTTTATGGGTGATATGGACTTCCAGACCACCGTTCGCATACACCATGACGCTCAGCCTATCTAATTGTACCGGAAATTATGGGCACTAGCTGGACCTATTGATGATGAGAGAACTGTCCCCTCCTGTTAATTTTTCAGTCTTAGTCCTTCTGGCTTACACCGGGTACGAGAACTTCAGCTGACCGCAGGTGTGCCTCAGAGGAAGCCATGACATTGTCGATAGTGTAGGGTATTCGTTCGGTTTGGTGGAATAGCTTGAAAACGGGCGTTTGCCGAACATACATTTTTCTAAACTTTCCAAGGGTTCGCGGCATTCCAACATGATTATACACTTGTTATGACCATTTATACACTCTCTCCAAGTCACCAGCAAAAGTAAGACATAACCTACTAGTTGAATGAGATTGTCTGCGGCATATTTGAATTAATTTACTTGCAAACTGAAATCATCATAAAGAAGCACCGTCAGTAGTTTTTTTCAATTCTATCTTGCAGGACCCTGGGGAAGAGTTCAATCCATTCATCAGAGAGTTGATTGCATTGTACGAAGGTATCAAACTTGGGTTTGTGGAAGAGGTAGTCAGCAAACTCGAAAAGTCCCTGTAAGTTGCCCTGATAATCATTTACTTTGTTTCAAGGCTAAACGCAAGCTATGCATACACATCATCACCCAACCGGTCTAAAATTGTCAGTTTTATTTCATCCTTATTGCGTTACAAGCTGACTGAGGCCCATAGGGATTCAGTCACACTGGTGAGAGAAAAGACTGTTTACTGACCGATGAATGCGCGAGGCATTCGTCGTACTTCGTATCCATGTGCTCATTCCAATGCTCTAAACGTTTCTCGTGTTTCCACTTCACTATGCTCATTTAGGAATTTGAGTTGGCTAAGTTATATATACATATATAACCCTTGAGACAATTCTCAACAAATCGAAATGGGGCCACAATGCAAGCAATAAACAGACGCACCAGCAAACAGTTAACCAACAAGATCGGCACCCTGTTTGCTAGTAGGTGAACTCTGTCCTTCCACAAAGTGCGCAACTACCTCGATCAGATCACCGTGTTTGAATGACTATCCCTCTTCGGAAAAGGCCAGATAACTCATTCACCGCTGGAATTCAGCCAACAAGAACCAGTGCTGAAGGACGGTAAGGTATCACTCCAATGTTTGTAGACACGGAATAGTCATAAACTTGGCTTGAAACGCCCTGGAAAGAAAGGCACTACAAAATGTGTAAGACAACGATTAAACAGTCGTCATTCTTTCAGGTAAAGGCAAAGCCCTATGTTACTAGAAAAACCGTGATACAAAAGTGAATCCCTACAGGTTCCCTGAGGACCTTAAGTCTATGCAAATATCCGACTATCGAAATATCCAACTGTGATCTTGAGTATTGCCACAACGAAATTCACATCATACAAAGGAGGCACACGCTGACAGAATGCTTCTTCCCAAAACTAAAAGTTATTATTGGGACTCCTCTCCTCGATTTAACAGTTTTAGCACAACCATATGGGATGGTTCAAAAGACGAAGAGTTGTCACCTGAAGGCAACGCACGACCGAACGCAAATAAGCTGCTTCAAAACATTATTTTATCGAATCCGAACTCGATCGAACAGCTTCATCCAGGAAGGCTTCTTAAGGCAAACACCGAAAACCAAAGGCATAATTACTGATTCAATGTGTTTTTTTTCAGTCCATAAATTTGCACCTTCAGCTGCGGAAGAGAAGCGGCGCACCATGGTCCCCAGTGAGGATAACACACATACCCTTAGGGGAAGTTCAACCCAGTTAGGTTAGATATGATTAGTCACCCTGACACAGGTGATTGCTATTGGTGATAGAGCTAATCCCATACTTCAACCTTGAATGATCAATGAATGTGTAAAAACTGTTTTATCATCTCATGTTTCCTTGGCCTCTTGCTTGGTAGTGACTACGTAGAACTCCGAAATTCGCAGCTTATCCGTAATCAGGTTTGAAAAAGGCACTAAGCTTTATCTAACCTGTTATATATGCTGATTCGCCAATCTACGGTATCTGATGCTGACCCGATGAAGTGCCCAGTGCCTGAAAAAAAACTCAGAAGGGAACATAACAGCTATATTCCGAACAAGCTAGTGTGAGAGCGTGTGAGTGCGTGCGAGTGCGAGAGCAAAAGTTACAACGACCCCATGTTATTTAAAGAAGACTTGCTAACATTGATCCAGGCTGTCTGATAGGCGTTATTGAACACCCGTCAAAATCGATCGTCCCTCTGTGAAATGCCGGAACGCTGATCACATTCGGTCGTGTTTCTTTGGCGAGCATGAGGACTCATTGGCTTTTGCTGAATTGATTGAATGATTGACTGACCTGGATGCTTGCCGGCTTTCCTGTTGAAATTTTGGTGGAGCAGTAAGTTCCGGGCGTTCTGAGGTTACTTTCAGGAACCTAACCTTCCGGATATAACCATGCCAACATTCAACAGCTGATTAGTACAGTAAAATGCAGAAACTTGTGCGGTTAGCTTACTTTAGTTATATGATAAGGCTACCGTTTTCTGACTACAAAACGGTCCAGCGTCAACACTTTAAGAACAATCTGCAGTGTTGCCTCAATCAATGAAGCAGATACTTAACTATTCACCTTGAATATACGAAGGAACTACGAAACATGTGTCCACCTTGACAGCCGTAAGAGTACTTCAGTTTGTTGTCGTTTACTTGGTCTCTTTTGGTGTAAGATGTGTGGTATACCGGTCCTGAGACCAATAGCGATTGAGTTTTTCGCGAAACTTGTGCAGATTACGACTACCCCGTCTGGCTGATGGGCAGCTCCTGCTGACGTGGTCTGAATTAATTAGGTGGCAAACGAAATGAAAATAGCCACTGTTATTCACAAAAAAATTTTATAATCGGGCTCACCTATTTGACTTCATATAACTCTTACTGTAGTGAGCTAGAAGGTCACTATCAAGTATCTCATCCCACAGGATAACTGGATTAATCCAAAACACCATGAGATCCCATAACCAGTGTGCTGATTCACAAGGTCAGGTTAGGTGAATTTCACAGAACCATCCAGCAAATATAAGGAACTAAGCATATTCCTACCAATATCATGAGAGAACGTGCTTACTTCAGCTGTTTAAGGAACGTCGAGTTTCGTCAAGTTTGCAGCGACAGACTTCTAACACAATGAGACCTCGCGGATTTCTGTCAAAAGCGTCATTATTAGGGGGGTCGTGATTATGAGAAGTGGCCGCTATACATATATATATATATATGCATATATATATCCATATATGTATACTTAGGTTCCAAAGAAGGAACGTCATGCAAAATCATCATGGTGTCAGCTTGTTATCCGTCGCATCGAAGGTACTCTCTGGCATCATTCAATCGGTTGATCGATTGTCGGGAGGGACAGATTCGTGAGAGTCAAGCTGGGTTTCTCCTTGGTCGAGGATTCATCGACTACTTCTTCACCTTGAGACAAGCTCTTGAACAGCACCACTCGTTCAAACATCCCACCTGGGTCTTTCTTCGCGACCAGAAAGCTGCTTTTCACTCTGTCGATGGTCAGAAACTTTAGTGGTGTCTGGCGATCAAAGGTGTCCCTTTCAAATTTATGTCACTAATGAGGGCACTGTGTGCGAGCTCATCATCAGTTTCTCACATCCAGTGGTGTAGGGCAAGGCTGTCCTCTATCGCCTTTTCCATAAGACTCTGTTACGATGTGCTGCTTGAAACTGCTGTCTCGGTTGTTGAAATCCTCCCATGATCTTCGCATACTTGTTTACAAAGTGTAAGGTGCTGCTGCAAGATTGGGTGGGAGCAAACACGAACCTCACGCTTGTAGACGAGTAAATTGACGTGGTGGTTAAATATGGCTGGAGCTGAGAATACTTCTCGAATCGGGAAGTTCAGTGCAGCTTTCGTGAACCTCCGACACTTATGGTGATAATGGGACTTCGATCTGTCCGTCAAATGCAGGGTTAACACTGAGGTGCGACCCATACTACTTTGCGGATTAGAGGCGTGACCTCCATGTGCAGAGGAAATACAAAAGATGTTAGTACTTGACCATCGGTGTCTCGCCTGGTGGGAACATCGAATGAGCAATGCTGCGGTACGTCAGATGGTCTTAGTAAGAATGAACTTTCCCACGATGGATGGATTACTCACACTTGGTAGATTACGCTGGTTAGGACAGGTATTTCGCACACCAGAGGTCCGCCTGCCGCGAAGAGCTTTTTTCACTCAGTCCTGCGCTGAGTGGAGAAGACTAAGAGTTGGCCTAGAAGTATGAAAACATTAACCAATAAAGTTCATCGGGTCGACAACTGATCCCTTCCTGGATGGGGACCCCAGGACTCAACTCACCAATGGTTACTGACGCTGGCAGAAATGAAATGCGAAGCTAACCAGTTCCCAAACCAACTGAATATGCTTTCACCTCCAATGCCTTGCTGTATGTCCCATACTCTCCTACTTTCCGGTGATTGAATATGTAGCGTCTGGATCCAAAGTGCCCATGGTACATGGTTTCTAGCTGATATATTGATCGATCGATTTATTAAGGTCCGAACTTAACTGCCATGATCACCTTTATGAAATCACTGTTTCCCTCCGTCAAGATTGTTATGTGTTAACCGCAACTCTGGTGGTATCTGTACCTTCGTTCATGAGTGTGTATTGTCACATTGGACTCTGAGGGTGGCAAACAGTCCATTACGGAACAGGCATTGGTGTGCGAGCTAATGATGTTCTGGGTAATAAGACCTTGTGCTCTACCTATGACAGTTGCAGAAACTGTCGTTTCCGCCTCCGATGATACGGAGACTAAGGAGGACATAGCTTCATCCAACCACGCACGGATAGTATCTCTTCGATTGGTGACGAAATGCTCACAAGCCGACTTTCGAACTTGGCGAATACCTGATAAAATGGTGGACATGTCCGGACCTCCAGATTTCCCGCAAGCTAATATGCGTACGTTTCTCCAGAAAAGTCTGATACCCAGTATGAAGCTTCGTCTCATCCATCAGGGAACGCCATTCAAATGATTAAATCCAATGAACATGTTTCAACAGGTATGACAAGGTATGTGTTGGGGCCCAAGTGAAGCTCCTTACCAGTGCCATAATAATGTGACATGGAAACAGCAGACGAAACTCAGCAAAACGATCGATAGATCTATCATTGTTTTAATGAAGCACTCGGTCATAAAGCCTATGATGCGAAGTGAACCACATTCTGATCACGGACCTGAAAGGTGCGATGTTGTCTGAAGGGAAGACTGTTTACGAAACTCCACCCTGACCAACTGTGACGGTATAAAGAGGTTTAAATTGCACCATGTTTATCTTTGAATAGAGGCTGAAAGAATGACGTCGCATTTCACGTGACAAAGTGCATGTCGGAATTGCGAAATGATTCAAATAGGTGGAACCAGTAAGTTTCAAAATACAGTCAGCAAGAACGTTTGTCTGTTAGCGTGTTCAAAGGTTACACATCGAGGCTAATCACTTCCTCAAGTTCTGGTGTTGAATTGGAACTGCTTTTTGACAAAAAATGAAGGTCGATGCTTAAAATTCAGTGCCTAGACACAAGTACAGGCAGCTTTTCAATTCAAGGCGTGTTATTCTGGTAAGTTAATGGTTTGGTCAGGTTCATCGAACATGCACGCTACCAAAGTACGCTGTTCGCCCTGTGATCAAATCAACGGAGAGTAAACTTTGATCTAACGTATGTGAAACAAGCGTTTTAGCATACACACTTCAAGTAGTGATTGAATGGAATAAACAGTGGCTTAGAAGTTTGCAGATAAAAACTCGATGGCAAACAAACTGGCCTAATTGATATTGGAAACGTGAAATCCAATCTCGATGAGTCTATGTAATTCAGATTGACCTTATCGTGTATAAATTGGAATAAATTGAGTTAAGTCACCAGGTACCATAGCAATAGGTAGCTCCTGAAAATGGGGAGTGAATAGCGGACTGTGCAACTGATTAGGCTACCCAGCAACACCGACCTGATAAAAAACAAACTCACGAATTCCAGTGTAACTCGACAGAAAAGCCAAGCATCAAGTATTTCGGATATCATTAGTCAACGTGCACTTTGCTTGGTATTGTTTATTAGATAGTGGAGTGCATCAGTACCCGATAAATATATCGACAGTTTATTGAACGCCAATGCGCAAAGTTGTAAACGATTGAATGTGTCTGCTTAGCTTTCAAAGAAACTTATCATCAGGCATACATCACTCATAAACTGTCGCCGAATAGTTGCTCATATAAAGAGCTCTAGCTACGAAACACATGAAGAAGAGCATCTGCCTGTCTTGACGGAAACTCCATAAGGACTACTTGTCACAAGTGCTTGCAACGTTTTCACGTGAAACCACTTCCCACGAAAGTCGTAGTTCGATCTAAAAAGCTCGTGTAACTTCCTTCCAAACGGTGGATCCGTGTTTCTCTGGTTGACAAAAAACGACCAAACTACCTAAGAGGTGGTAAACTGATATGTTGTATGAAGAACCCTGCTCCCTGAACCATATTCTCTCTGCTCCCACCCAAAAATGTCTAGATGATTCAAAAAAATGTGAATCAAACGTCGGTACTACTCACTAAAACCGGGGATTGAACCGGAATGCAGTGATGTACAGGGAAACGAAATTTATTCCCAACTAAAACGAAAACTGCTTTCGGATGGAAGACGTTCTTATTTCCAAAATTATCTCAATTGATTCCAGTTAAACAGCTTCTCACTCTTATAGGGATCACAATACAAAACCACAGTAAGGTGTCCGCAGAATGGGAGCATCATTCTTTGTTGTTACGGTTATCTCATACAAAGTACTACCATCCTTTATTCAAGTAAACTCTTTCTATGCTCGTGCTTAGCTAACTGCTATAAATACCTTCCGAAAAGCAGTATCAACAAGAAGATAAGGTCTGATAAACTTGAAAAGCGTTGTGCATTTTTTATCGTTCATACGTACCACAACCACATAAAACCTGGTGTTACTTTCCCTAGCTTGCCTTGAGTTGAATGCGCAGTTAGTTAACACCATCAAGCAGATCACACATAAAATCCCGTGCGCTCTACTTGTTCAACAATATTTGCCTCGCAAAGTAGTCAAAGTCAAAAATCGGGTAGCTAGTTACACCCTGTGATCTCGAGCACTTAAGTGAGTTCAAATATTCTGCCATCATAACTAAACTGAAGCACTTCAAGTAAACATTGATGACTTCCGTACCTATCGTTCACCACGATCCCCCCCACAGCTATCATTCCCTGTGTTAACGGTTTTTTGCCACACTCTCAATGTGCATTCTTAACGGTGGAGTCCCCGGTTTCCGTTCGGGCAAGTTGCCTCCACCCCGTGTCACAAGCTCCATTGCTATTTTTCTAAAAATAGCGAATCAGACGAACGGCTTAGTTATGTGACATTTTGATTTACCGACAATCACCTGGTCACTTCACTCCCGATAGCTTCTAGCCTTCTGTTTTTTACAGTTACTGTCAAGGCGTTTAATGTACTTTACGATGACGTAAAAGTGTAACCACAGTTTGCAGCCATTCTTTACACACACTAACAATAAAGGCTAATGCGATTCAAAAGCTCGGGAAAAGTTTAATCATTTTGTTACCATTTTTATGCGCATGTTTCATTTATTGGATCGATTTTGTTCCTTTCTTGTGAAAGTGACAACGAAGCTGAGATCAAGGAAGTCAGTGCAGCACAACTGAGGGACGCAATCTATGCGGCTTACAGAGCCTCGAGAGCGACATCCGACGCAGCTTCGGCCAAAAGGGAACTAAACATTATTGAACCAGCCCGTAAACCTGACATAGAAGTCTGTATTGAGTGGATCATGAAACCGAGTATGAACGAACCTCCAGTGCCGTCGATTCCCTACGAAATGGCGGTGAAAAGGTTGAGGGGATCCAATATCTTCCCTATGACAACGGAGGGTTAAAGCTACTCTAAAGTCAGTTGGCAGGTAGATGGCAGACAAAGCAGTCATGAAGAGCAGTCCGACCTTAGCTTATTTGATTATCTTTTACGTCGAACGCACATCATAATTTCGTTTAATTCCAAAACATTACCACACACTTTGTGTTTGCACCTGACTGAATAACTTGCCTTTTTCTAACAGGCTGATCCTACAAAGTTTGATACAATTGTCGTTGTCACCAGAGTACCTTTTATTATCCAGCTGAGTTTCCCCAGGCTAGCGTCCGCACAACATTACTCTCTGATGGTTACTAATCAGTGGTCTACCGGGGAAAGTGAACTAGGCAGCGAGAGACCTATTGTAAGAATGGCAGACGTCTAACGGTTGAAGGCGTTGGAAAACCCCCACCAAATGTGATTAACGTGAACAATTCTGGAAAGTCCATGAAGCGGACCAGATGGTGTTAACCTAAATCTTGAGATAGTGAACACTGTGAGAGTTTGTTAAACCGGAAAGCGAAGGAGAATGACAGGAGGAAAAACGATGAGAAAAGTGTATATTTGTAATGTACTACTCATAAGGTTGCTGAAAATCCGTCGAGAGCCCACGACCGGTTTCGCCCTTTTTGGGGCTCATCAGGTAGGCACGATCCCCGGGTTTCCGTCAACCTTATGTTCTACTTGAAGCCAAATTGCACGAAATTAGTTTGCACTCTCGTTTGCACTCTCTTTGCACACTCTTTTTGACGACAAGAAATCACAACTTGATTCGACTACTCCAGGAGGACAAACTAGTGAACGACCGTGAGTTTTGGCGGAAAATTTGGAAAATGGTGGTAGCCTGGCAACTAACTGTGGGAGATTTTGTAGACTATCACTCAAAACAGAGGAATCAGTGAAATACAAAAAATTAGTTGAATACTAGAAAAAAGCTGTTCATGAGGAGTGGCACTGTAATTACGACGGCAGTAGGATGAAGAGAAATAGCTACGACAGCACAGAAAGAAATCCGGTTTACTTGAGACATGACATGGAATCATCTGCACAAATAGGGGCCAAGTAATATCGCTCGTAAAGAAGAAAACAGTTCGGAAGCAGATAGATGATCGTAGGATCAACGAAGAATCGTAAAATCTTGGATGGGTTGCAGAAAGGGAAATGGAATCATGAGTGAAGTTGGTGTGATTGAGTGTAAATGCCTCAACCGAGCCCCAGTCGTGAGTCCTCGTAATATGGGCTTTCAGTGTACTGATGGCATCCATACAGACAATACTGACCCTAGGTGGGCACATCTTTGACTGCAATGACACCAGAAAATTTGGAGAGTTATATCATCTTCCAGAGCATGCGTCCAGTCACTGATGGCGATTTTTATCCACTATACATCGTTCAGATCCTTTACCACAAATCCAAGAAGCTTCACACCCCAACTAGCCCACTCATTAGTGGTTATTCACCGTAATCTTGTTCTGGCGTTTCACTCTAGCATTTTATACCACAAAAAAACAAGCTCAACAACATAAACCACATCGATGTTCATCTATTACGTCGTTTTCACAGCTTTACGTAGTTTTCCGATTGATGACTGCCGCCAAGTATTGTTTACCTGTTGTACCATGGGTCCTTGGTATTTTGCGTGAAAAGTGATACTCGAGTTTCAAGATGACTATCAACGTGGCAATCGATCGAGAGAGTAAAATGAACCAAGACATTCCACAAAACAAACGGTAGATGAATATTTTTAGAGCGGTGGCACATAAGCCCATCTTGATGATCGATGAAGGATCTGGTGGTCTCTAGGTCACTTTGGAGGTGGTTAACCAGGGTGACAAGCTGAGGGTCATAGAGGTGGAGCGATAATTATTGGCTTGGATAAAAATCTATCTTTAGAAGCTACAGCGAAAGATGGGAAGGGTGCAAAATTGGAGTGAGTTACGGAGCACCAACACATTACGAACTAGAAGCGTATCATCCAGATCAGTGGCGAGGGTGAGAAGTTGGCCAAATATTTCTGCCCCCTTTGAACAACGAGTTTATGAGATCGTTGGTGTTGGGAGATTTGAGACAGGTGAAAGATCTGAATTTCTAACTGACAACTTTTGCAAGATTCCTGAAAGATAAGCTTATCGGATTGATGAACATGTTCCCGGGTCCAGTGGATGACCAGAATTTAGGGACTGCATTCTATTGCAGTTAGAGTGACATGAAGTGGAGCTTTGGAACTCTAGCATTTATACGCTCGGATTTTTCATCAAACACTACGAGGACAAACACGACTAAAGTATTCCCAGGGTGTGCGTTTATTGGATAAAAATAGGAGTTTTCATCAGCAGGGATACTTATGGGTTTCTCAGTATGAATCACTGGACCGTTGGCAATGCAGCAATCTCAGACTTAAGCCGAAATGTGATATGTCGTTCCATTCAGTGGAAAAGTATCAGTAAAGCGGAGGTTAAATATGAGTAAGTGATAAAATAATGATTAGAAGAGCAGATGAGGTGCAACCGAATGCAATGAAAGTTGAGCCAGTAACAAACAACATATAGGCGAATACTGAGATATGTTCAACTCTTCACATCCTCCACTGCTTCTTCTTGAATTGCAAAGCAAATATTCAGAGACTGCACGTTCCGAAGCATGACGCTGTACTCGGAAGGTGAAAGGTGCATGTTGATGGATGGTACGCTAGTTTTCATTTTATTCAATTAGGTTGTACCTGGCCATCGTCTCCAAAGATGTGGGGTGTTTTAGAATAGCTTAGATACCTGCAAAGTTGATGCCAGGTGCATTCGAAAAAAAACACTTTTGGCTGACCGGTTTAATAAATTAAAAAGTGCATTGGTTATATCCCATTGATGAAAAGTAATAATAATAATAATAATACTGGTAATACTAATGGTGTTGTGTGTGCACCAGTCATACTACGCGCTCGGTAGGGAAAATTCTTCCAGGAGAATGTTCTTTTTAATGCGTAAGTTCGGTAAGATATGTTGTCTGAAACTTCCCAAACGCATCACCAGTGCAGCTATATATCTGCGTATCCCATGGCTACAGCGATCCGCTTTGAAGACACCTCAAGCCACTCAGTAAATAAAGTTCACTCAGCCCCTCCAAAAGACCCCTTCCGGAGAGCACCATTATATGGAGCATGCCAAAAACCTCATCGAGACTAAAAATTTTCAATAGTACACCAAGATATAACTTTGTAGAAACCTACCACCTAAATAATACAAGACAGATCGTTAGGTATTGTTCAATATACTAACGTAATGCCAATGGCCTTCAAGCTAATTAGTCGAAATACGGGGGAAGCCACACAATTTAATGACCGCTTTTCTCACTCTCTTGTGCATTCGTTCGTCACCGCTGAGCAGGGCCAGAAAACAAGAATGACAAAAGTATGCATTGCTTTGTGCATTCTTTTTGCGAGCTTCCACACGTGGGACGGAATTCATGTTGGTTGGTGGGTTTTAACGAATCAGATAGTATTGCAGCTGACATCGAACTACCACAGACCAGTCTACAGGTTAATTTCTCCACCCTTTTAGCTATCGATTTCACCTGTAGATGCGGTTGTACGTTGGCGTTCGTAACTTGTCATATGTAGTGTCCAAATCACACACTCAAGACTTACCCAGCCTCGCACCCCTTCTGTGGTACACAACTTAGCTGGTCTTCAAGTACTCAGAGTTGATTCGGTGATGAATAATATGAACGCAGTATACTTGACCATTAGTCAGTCAGACGGATAGGGAATCTTTTTGGGTAGAAGGGCAAGTGAAAGTAACGGCGTGTTCTGGATATGGACGGTTCTTTAAGTCCGCCGCGCCCTTATGTGTAGCGGATTGTGAGGGGGGGGGGGATCTGGCTGTGTCGACGGCTAGTTCGGAAACAGTGATCTCCAAATGACACAATGTTTCTCATTTTTAGATACTAGATTCAGACAGTATGAAGTGGGTGGGTGGAGCAACCCGACCAGCATGAAGCTTTTATCATAGGGAAATACAACCAGATTTTGCGGTCTAATTCCGTCATAGCATTTGCTACTAGGCTTAAAAGTTCTGGTACGGTGTGATAGAAAAGGCTTTTTCGCATGCTGAACTGCCTGTTAACCTTGGAAGATTCTCGAGACTTCGTGACGTGGCTTCATCTAGCTTCATCCTGCAAAACCAAGTCGTTTTTCGACCACGAAACGGTTTGAAATATACACCGCCTGTAAGCCAGATGCAACTGAGGGACAACGAAGAACTAATTCTGTCCTGTGGACCGAAAACTGCATGTGTTGGTTGGGTCCAATGTGTCACGATGATTTGGACAATCTCCTTGTGCCGTACATTAAGATCGAAATAATTAAGGTAGACACAATCCAGTACAGTCCACCAGATCGTATACCAATGTGTGGATACAGTAAAGTGACTAGCCAGCTCATAGGGTGGGTCACATTGCTCAGCTGAGTTTTCACAGTCCGGGTCACTATTATCAACACTATGCCAAACGTTCATTGGGCAGTGCGAATACACAAACGCATAAATGATGACCGCTTGCCGAATCAGTAGGAGGAAAACCCGTAGAAATATTGAGGACATGGACACTGATCAGTCGTCCAACATGGCACCGGTTTTGTTTCCATTCAATGATGTGCTTTGTTCGGCCCGTTATCCTTTGGACTTTATTCGACGAGGCGGTGTGTGTAGAATGAAGTTGTGACTATACAAATCACAAACTTGCATTGTGGTTTAACTTGAACTACTTTTTGGGCCCAAACAAACCACTCGATAGCCATCCAGCTGTACCATCTAAAAGTAATTAGACGGTATATTCTACTGACATTGGTGAAACGGACACTGGACTGAGGTGCTGCTGACGTTGGAAGCGAGGGTCGCTACGGTAGGTGTTCGCAGAGTACCAGGGATGGCTTAGTAGGGTTAGACACCAAATTCTGCAAGACTGCTATGCAACACAACTTGGGAACCATTTCGAGGTTGCGCGGGCAATAAACTGGATGTGCTGATTGTTCATCGAGTATATGCACCTAGCACACGTACTGTTGACAAGTGCCTAGAAGGTCCTTTCATACCTTTGGAGAAAAACAGTCTGAGATCAGAAACGATGGAAGGAAATACAGACAACGCATCACGCCTCAGCACGACGTTCTGGTACAATCAAAAATCAAGATAGAAAGTCATTTTTTTCTGGAAGAAGGCAACTTCGAAGTATTTTACACCCTACCGGAAGTATAATCGCTAACAGGAGCGATTAGATGCTATCCGGTCGTCAGTTCGGCATATAATATATGCAAATTCAACACATAATTGGCGCGATGACCTCAACACATCTCAAATCCGAGGGAAACCCTGTTTACGGCTCTCGAATTCCTGCCTAATGTATCGGAGTTAGGTGTACTGGTATTTTGAAGTCAGCGGCTGCTTTGTGACAGCGTCAGGCTGACGCCCCTGGTTAGAAAAGCCGATTCGTATACCCTCTGACGACTGCTCAGCTCGTTTTCTGAAACGCGTTCTTATTCCAAGATAAGTTCAGTCTAGCTAAGGTGTAACACAGAGTTGCACAATCATATTTAAGTGGCAGCTCATCACACCCGTTAGAAATGCATGTTGGCACTTCACTAGCAGAGGAGTGATACAAACCCAGTTCGGCAGGTGGAGCAAACCAATCACGTCGCACAAGCACGAACACGTTAGTCTGTTCAGAGATGATAACTCCACAGCGCGCTGTTGGAGTAGTGGAAATAAGCCCGCCTCACATGTCAGATGTCCAGAGTTGAAACCCCGACACGGCCAAGGATATGAACTTGTGATTAACCGTTTTGCTGAGGACTTACCCGAATAATTGTGCTAGGATAGGAAGACTGTTCAAAGGAGCATTGTTAACTTGGATAGGTGTGGAAGCCAGTGAACAACTAAACTATTGTCGAAGATATTCTAAATAGCTATCTGAACGCTCGATTTTCTTGTCACATGTTATATTTGTAATATTACATATGATTCGCACATTAACAGACGTCGTCCTGGGTCCTGGAGAAATTCCACGAATTCCCCACTGAACTACCTAACTCCATTTCTTGAGCCTGCCGGTTCCACCATGTGTCTGAGTTTACATATAGCAGATCATAAGATGGTACGTTAAGGGAAACGTCTTACATTCACCGAGCGATTGCTTCTGAGGTCCACGTATTTCGGTTTTTACAGCTTGCCAGTTAATGTCTTCCGATGAGGTCACTTTGACAGCAACATACAGTAGGCAGTAGTATGTTAACTCCATTCGTGGCGCTGAAAAATATTCGACTTTTAGATGAGAAGTTTCCTCATTAGGTTCACTCGGTTGATTTAGTGGAGGTCTACATCGGACGAGAACATGGTCTGAATTAACATGTGTTTTCCAGGATGATCGGCAGTCGACAATGAAGCCTCGCCGTCCGTAGCTTATGCCCAACAGTTTTTCAGCGATACGGGGCTCCACCACGCTTAAACTCAGTACTGCTGAGGAACAACTGATGGCAAAAGACGTTCAACATCACGAAACCTTGGGCCTAGACTAAACCTGCCGCGAAATCTTGCCCCGCATGAACTAGAGCGTACAACTCATGCGCTGAAACTTCCTATATTTAGTATTTGTCCAAAACCATAGTGATAAGATATTGGTTGTTCCTCGGCAAAATGCACCTTTCATGAGATCAACGCTACAGTTGATTGTTGCACACGCAGGTGCTGTAAATAAAGAGCGGGTAGTCAGGGAAGTGGACAGATCAACGACACCGATGATCAAGAGTACCAAGAGTGAGTGCATAAGCAGTTTGCTAACCAGCTTGCTTAAGGGTCAAATCTTAAACGCTGCAATAAAACGGGAAAACGGAGCGGTAGCTGTAGGTCTTGTGCAACGGCTACCAAGTGGACAAATATGGTACGAGTATGTAATGTACAGCTATATCAGACGTCTTGCTTAGGTCCTATTGACACAATAATAATTCATTGGAGTGGATGCTGCTGTGGAAATCTGATGAAGTACTTCAGCTATCTCTTCAGATTCAACAAGCCAGAGGTAGGAAAGAAAAAGGCTGTGCATATGGTAGAGTGGATTGCGTCAATCAGAAAAAGCTACACAACTTCGTGACTTATGAGCTGTAAAACAGTTGTGGTGAAAATGCCTTCTGTGAGCTGTCAGAGTGCGAAACTTGTTCATTGCTTTGTTGACGTACACCTGATTAGTAGGCCCCATGTAAGGCTGTCACTCTTGAACTTGTCATAACAGCGATCAAGCTTACCGTTAATTTTTTCGTAAAACCAGCGACAATTTACTTTGCTCATCTTCGCATCACTCTCGTATGAACAGTAGTCCTCCTGTCCTGGCGTAATTATTCTGGTGAGTCCACACCAAAGTGGAGGAAGCACTGAACTCGAGTTCCGATCCCATCAGCAGTGCACATTTAATGACCGTGCCAGGGTTTGAACTCCGGAAGTGCGAGGCGAACGTGTTATTGCCACAATACACATTCGCAACCCCGTACCTCACACAACAAAAATCAAAAACTGTCCATCGGGTTTCAAGCGTCTGTGGAGCTCGCTGACTGGGAAGTCCTGAGAGGTGGGTCAATCGATCGTCACAACTAGGACAGTAGTGGGACGTGCTGTCACTCTTGAACTTGTCATAACAGCGATCAAGCTTACCGTTAATTTTTTCGTAAAACCAGCGACAATTTACTTTGCTCATCTTCGCATCACTCTCGTATGAACAGTAGTCCTCCTGTCCTGGCGTAATTATTCTGGTGAGTCCACACCAAAGTGGAGGAAGCACTGAACTCGAGTTCCGATCCCATCAGCAGTGCACATTTAATGACCGTGCCAGGGTTTGAACTCCGGAAGTGCGAGGCGAACGTGTTATTGCCACAATACACATTCGCAACCCCGTACCTCACACAACAAAAATCAAAAACTGTCCATCGGGTTTCAAGCGTCTGTGGAGCTCGCTGACTGGGAAGTCCTGAGAGGTGGGTCAATCGATCGTCACAACTAGGACAGTCAGTGGGTCGTCGTCAGACGGGTCGGGCATATCAATTACATCGCTCAAGCATGAACACCTTCAACTGTTCAGATGCGTCCAACCTGCGCTGGTGGAGTAGTGGTAACAGGCTCGCCTGGCATGTCAGATGTCCGGGGTTCAAATCCCGGCACGGCCATTGGATATGTACTGCTGATGAGCTGTAATAAGATCGCAATTCGAGTTCAGCGCTTCCTCCACTTTGGTGTGGACCCATTAGAATAATTATACCAGGACAGGATGACTACACACGAGAGCAATTTGAATATGAGCAATACGTATCCCGCAACCCCCCAGCAAAAAAGTTTATTTAAATGCCGCTCGAAGGGGTGAACATCGTGCTCTAAATTATCATAGTCACCTTCCCTCTTTCTCACCTTTCACTACATCATTTTCGCGAGTAGATAGCAGTCGGACGCGACCATTCGATATTCGTGAATGCGTCAGTGTGGAGTGGAAATTCACTTCGCGAAGAATAAATGCACTGCAAATGTACAAATGATTTCATAGAGGAAGACGCAGCGTTGGTATTCACTAAATTAGGTTATCCAAAAGGTCCGCAGTACATTTTAATGGGAACTGGTGCTCGTCAAGTCACAAAACTCGGACCTTGTGGGACGGAATCATTTTCAGTTATGAAGATCATCGTTGTGCGAGGGGCTGGGATACCGTCAGGTGCCCAAGCTTCGATAGACCGATTGGGTCTCTCTCTGACTACAGGGCAGCTGTCGAGTGTCGGTATTTTTTACAGCAACTAAGGTTTTCAAGAAATACGTCACCACACATGTTCCAACAACCCAACCGCAGAACCTCTACCCGCTGGTCAAGCTGGTAGGAGAAACTCCGTGGGTGTCAAGGTAAACTTCCTAAATGTAACTCAGTGAGTCAGTGTGATACAAACCATCACACCACGATAAGGTTTGAGCTTGCTTGCGGCGGCACGGTTGAGTGGTAAGAAGTGGGGTGAGAAACGGGGATATGACAATTTGATAAAAGATTACAGATAGTTGGGGGCCGAACTGTGTATTGGTGAAAATGACAAAATCAGACAGGATGCTGATTACGCATGAAACATGGTAGAAACAGGGAACAATCGGAACAAGTCAATATGAACTGGAGTAAATGAACACGTGGTGCAAGTCTATCACTGTCCGACTCCGAGCAATCCGGAAAAAACGAGAGATGACTTGGGAGATTGCCTGAGTTGCTCAACTGGAATACGATAGGCAGGCTGCAGACGGACCATAGGCACAGCTGGAGGACGACTGGCTGTGGCAAATCCAACGCGGGCGTTTCCAACATCAAAAATTGTGTAGTATTTGCCAATGAATACGTCACCAAGAATCCACAAAGGTCCTGCAGGAATGTCGATTCCCATGAAACCGCTGATGCAAAGAGTTTTGCCAAAGGAGGTCATCTGTGAAAACGTGGCACAAAGACACAACAAAGGCTTTGCGAAATTTGCAGTCAAATGGATCAAACTGATTATGTGAAAACCTAACGGAAGCCTTGCTGGTGTGGAGGTGGAACAGAACTTTAAAAAAGCGGGAAGCCCAAAACATGTGTTTTGCGGAGGAAAAAACACCGACAGTCTGCCAGTAACTAGATCTGGTGATTAAAGTGAAACCATGGAGAAAACATACCATAAGTTCGGAGTTAAAATGGGAAGGAAATGGGTTTACTGCAGTAAGGGGATAACGAGCCCGCCTACTATACGTGAACGAAACATGGATCTTCCGACAGAAACAGCTGGCTAGCACTCAAATGAGATAAAGCATGAGTAGTTAGGACGGTAACTCAGGTTACCTACGTGTAATACTGAAGGGACGTTAGAACTGAGCGAGAAGCGAGTGACATGCAAACTACCTAGAGTTAAGAGCTTTAGGCGTGAACGTTGTGGAAACAAACAATTTTTCAGGTCCAAGCCTCGTTCAAACTATGTGAAAGAATTCCCGTTAGAACGAACTATTTGATGCCTCTACTGAACACTGGACGACTTCAGGCAGGTAAAGTGGTAAAATCCATCTCTTCTTCGAAAGAATGTATCAGCTTTGGAAACGGAACACATGATCTATGGACACGACGTGGTGATACCTAAAAGTACAAGTTCTAAGCGCATAGTGAATTCGCAGTCATTAGAAATGGGGATAACAAATACATGAAATTATGTAATCCGAAACTGTTGAAACGACTGTTAACAGCACATTATGCGAACGATTTATTGCATTTAAGTGCCATAGACACCATCCACAAGAACATCAGTGCCAGACAGAACTTTGAGGTGTCACGACACTACAGTTGTATCCAAAGCCAGGACAACCACAGATTTAGTTGCTAGGGGTCTGTATCGTGGTCGCTAGGCCAGATGTACTACACCGAATCAATTCACTTCCACAAGCATAGATATCCCGATACAGCAGTCTTCATGGGAATCAAAGGGTCTTCTCAACAACTGATGGTCCCTTCTTGGAAGTTGAGCAACAACGGCCTTTTTGCCTTCTGTATAGAAATTAACATACATTAGTACCCACTTGACAGAAGATGAGCGGAATTCTTCATTTCGTCTGAAGTGAATGTTCCAGATATGAAAAACACTTTTCTATCCGGGGTTGACAATTACTAGCGCAACACAGTAGACTCGTCCAATCGTCGTTACGCCTCGTCAGTTGGAGACGAAAATCGTTCAGCTGCAGCACCCTTTCGGTGCCTAACTGCCATGCGACCCGAAGGTTGCACGAGAGCTGGGATACTGCCAGGTCGCCCAAGCCTAGACAGGGGAAGTCGAGTGACAGATGTCGGGTTCGAACCACGGACCTTCCGGTCAGTAAATTCGCGCTCTAACCACTTGGGCCATCTCGCCCAAGGAGCTGAACTCGAATAGGTCTCATCGAGTAAGATAATTTACCACGAATAGGTATTTCCAAATAACAAACCACTGTAACCGTTGGGAGCTCGACAAATAGTTATTGGGTGTTGCTTTAGACGGTCACTCAACCGCGAGACATCTCCAGAATGATGCAGTGTATAAGTAGTGCTTATAACATAGTCTGTTTAACGGAGTAGTTTTAACCATGCCCGTCTCCGTGCCAATGTTCGTGCAGATCTGCCGAGTAGTCACTCCCCATCCACACACAAAGGCGCTACCCATAGAGCGAAAGGTGAATTTATCAGTCGGAGAGCCAAATACTGAATGCGTTTCCTGGGGGGACACTTTTCTGCACCTTCACCGAGGCAATCAATCGGTATCTTTGCACTCCTTCGATTTCCTCCTGTCCCCAAACCCCATCTCAGTCCTCAGTGAGGCTATTTTCGTGAATCACTTCGTTCACAATGCTGGCTGCCCTCTGTCTTCTACCATGACTTTTGATCCTTCATCATCAAACACAAGAATGTCCATCATGTCGATACGAATCGCGTATCCACTTCTCCCTTCACAAGACATTTTCAGACTTCCTCTCTCCAACGATTCCCCCCCCCCCCCCATTCAATCTACCTCTTTCTATGAATACATGTTCGTCTATCTGGAAGGTAGCCCAAGCTCTCTCCATTCCTAAACGTCTGTTCCACTGGGAGACTTCGTGTGAAGACTGAATGAGCTTTTAGCTATTTTCTCGTAGCCGTAGGAAAAGCGCTGAAACTACATGCATCCAAGACAAAACAACGCTAGGAATCTAAAAGCTCTATGATACCATGAGTTTCCGCTGCCAGCGGTAGATAGGTAACAACTGCACGACGGAGTACTGATCCGTCCTGAGCATGAAATAGTTCAGACTGCCATTATTTTGTGCCAAGTGATTGTGTAGTGCTAAGAAATTCTGATTTACACGATAAGCATTTACCTTTGAAAACCGGCGTATAATTGACTAGTGGCTCAAAAACAGGAAAGGGACGAACAACCTGACCGGCCATGCACGGCAGCTTTTCGGCGGTATGAAAGTTTGCCCACAGATGACCCGAAATACGAAACGTGTTTGCTGAACAGACCCTAAGCGCAGTATAAAACTGATATTTGAAGTATGTTCACGTTCGTGCCGCTTTGCCTTTCCATCGGTTTCTTTGGCAAGCTTGATTCGGAGACAAAGTATAAGCATGCACACCTTCCGTCACAGACCTCAGATTGTACTTTGTCACGGTTTCTCGCCCGGCCCAGCAGTTAGGGTGGTACTCTCACCAGGGCTTACTTCGAACATTCTGACAGTCATCTTGTCATTGCCACTAGGCAGATGGACTTCAAAAGTTGGCACGGGAGAGAACGCAGCTATTAAGGTCTGCTAATGCAACACCGCTAGTGCTTCAGAACTGCAGGACCTCAATTTATCCAATGAAAGTGTCTGCAGCCGACCGGTCCCAGCGTTGTCCGAGCACGGTGATGCTACATACACCTGGCAATAGGATGCATACATAAACAAGTTGTGGAAACTTTGATTCCGTTGGATTTCCTCTATTTTCCTTCACTTAGTGTCTTCCCTTGAAATGCTATCTGAATATTCTGCGACACATTTGCCCGGGAAAAATAGGTTTTGATGGAATATTTAGTGATCAGCTATGAATATCACATCCCAACAAAACAAACTTCTCTATCAGGTGGTAAATCCGATAATTCTCGCATGATATCTCTTGTGTGCCTTGGTGTTGTACTCAGAAACGACCGCAGTTGGCCGTCGTAGTATGGTTTTCAGTGCGCTCTTACACATGCAGACGATAACGTCTAAAAATGGAATTGCTGACATCTTAGGATGTCAAAGAAGGATTATTTCCAACTCCATTTATACGGCTTGAAATGGGTCATTGCTGTAATACAGTATACGGTCAATGATTACAGCATACTCGACCTGGTACTGCAAGAATACCTGGATAGAAATTTTAAAAAAATTCATGTGCGGTGCATAGGCTGCTATATGCTTCATCATATCCTCTGGCTTCAGTGAAGTATACTGTCCTCTGATGCGCAATTGAATCCAAAAGATGCTTCTTGGGAGCACTATCTTCCCCGATCAAGACATCGGTGGACAACACCAGAGAAGAATGAGGGGTACTGAGCAGATTGACGAAAAAGAGTGATAGTACTTCCCAATTATTCAGACACAAGAGTTTGTTGTCAGGGTGGAAAACTTCAGGTATGAAATTGTTATGTGCAACAGTTGAGTGTAAACGGAACATGTGCACTTACTCGTAAAATATAATCCGACGGCTCTAGTTCCATGAGTTTCCCGTTTATGTTGAACTGGACCAACGGCAGTGTACTGACTCTGTCACAGTTAATATAGTATGTTCCTCCGGGTAGCTTGATGGCACCTAGAGCATCATTAAGCTTTCCAACCTCCTCCGAGGGACCAGCGATTAAAGACGTTCCAGTATCAGCGATAGCTTGACATCCGTTCTCGCATAACTTCATTCCTCCAACACTCATACTAAAATCAGAAAGAATGCTGAAGTTAGAGATCAGCCCTCTGGAAATCCCAGTGCTCTATTTACTGCCTAAGAAAAGCCTAAACGATGGATCGCATTACGTAGCAGTATGAACGGATACGTCTACGGAACCCGTTATTCTGGTAAAAGAGTTGCGGTACGAATCCAAGCGTTAGAAACAAATGTAGCGAAGTTTTAAAAGTCCATGTGTGACAAATGGTTTTCGGCATCTTGTGAACAATCGATGGATTAGCTGCTGGGTACTGCTTCGCCTTTCATAAAAAAAAACCTTCAGGGCAAAGGAGTAAACTAACAAGTTGAGCGAATTTAAGGTAGATGAAGGACCAATCGGCAGTCTGAATCGACTGGCACAGGAAATCAACGGTAAATGTCGACCAAAGGTTTTTAATGGTTAAGGTTGATGGGTTAAAGAAGGAAGAGATGTGGTTCGTTTTTGGAACCATATTCTTTCAATTCAGGGTACTCCGACTGACAGATCCTCATTGCTGTCGTGTAGAGTTCTTGCTATGGATGTCAATTAGTAAGNTTTCATAAAAAAAAACCTTCAGGGCAAAGGAGTAAACTAACAAGTTGAGCGAATTTAAGGTAGATGAAGGACCAATCGGCAGTCTGAATCGACTGGCACAGGAAATCAACGGTAAATGTCGACCAAAGGTTTTTAATGGTTAAGGTTGATGGGTTAAAGAAGGAAGAGATGTGGTTCGTTTTTGGAACCATATTCTTTCAATTCAGGGTACTCCGACTGACAGATCCTCATTGCCGTCGTGTAGAGTTTTTGCTATGGATGTCGGCTGGTAAGTGGTTCAACCACTTGGCGAAAGAGTGGGCAGGCTGGAAGACTCAAACTCCATTCATTGAAGCAAAACATACTTTCCACAGTTCTAGCTGATAAGCCACTAGACACTTCCCTCGAATAGCGTTCTCAGTGACCAGGTCATTCCTCAGTTAAACAACAAGCCTTTCTATGACATACACCACGACTCATGTCGATCTCCCGCGACATAAATGTAAGCTACACAGGGCTAGCAATGCAAAGATACACAAATATGTCCGTTCGAACGATCACTCTCCATCTAGTAAGTACATGGACAAACTAACTGTTGTAGGATGGCGAATTTATCAACTAGACCACTAAGTGACGAAGGATGTTGTCTGTTCGAGAAGATACCGAATTTTGCAGGTATTCTTAAACCCGTTTTCGGCAGTTCACGTCAAGCAGCGGACAATCATTACTAGCGGAAACTAAAAGTACCAACGGTAAGCTGGTATGGTCAGAAATCAATTTCTTGAATCTAATGTATTTTTTCGGAAAACTCCAGCAGTGAATTACTCCAGAATGCATTCATAAGTGAAAGAAAAGCGTTCGTACAGCATTCATAATTCCAACCGCATGGTGTTGTTTTACCGCCCAATTGTCTATGTTTTCGCACCCCACCGTCGTCAGAGGCGGCGATTTATTGGAAACTGGTAATTGGAGTTTGTACGTAAGTCATCCTGTTCAGAATGTGACGAAGAACGCATATCATAAAAACTTGTCTTTCCGACGAGGAGAAAATCTACGTTAGGTAACGGAGAAAATCAGATGGAAGGTGGTAGAAGACCATGGACAATTTCCAGAACAGTGAAGTGACAAAATAGACAGATGGTGGTAGAAAGTTAAAACAAGTTTTACTCTGGATGGGAATACGGGGAAATATACCTGTCAACTTTGAATTGCCAATAAGCCTCATGCGTCAAGGGTGCCCAAAGAATTTCCCCTTTATAGTATTTCGGATCCGTGCCTCCCAGTAGAAGTTCGCCTCCAACTGGATCCGACGCGTTACTAGGAGATCAAGATGAAAAGAAACTTTTAATAAGGGTCAATTTGGGGAAACGAATAAGTGAAGGCTTTGCGAACCATTTTGGTGGGATGCGGTTTTCACAGCAGTGCGGTATCATTATAAAAATTGCAGTAACCCCTCTTTTCTAGAATACACATACGGATCAGCCTCTGAAGCTTTTATCCCCCATCTCCCATGACATGAGCGATTCAACTAAACTACGCGCGATGGCTCCTGTAAGCAAGATAGGTGTGAGGGTGAGGTGAGCAACCAGTGACATAAACTGTTCGAAAAATGAAATAAAAGCCGCTGTTCCACACCGGTACTGTTGCGAAGAACAAGCGGACACAAAATTATCGTTTGTTTAAACACATCGGTGAAGAGAATGAAAAGTTGGTAGGGAGCTGAAATAACGCAACCGAAAACTCAGGCAAGATAAGTGAAGATTTATAGCTCCAGCACCTTCAGCTAGAGTTTATTTAACAACCGCAAACCGGCCAAGCGGTCAAACATTAATCAGACATCTGTAAGGTGTGATTCACTAGGATCATTCTACCAAAGTATTGCATTAAAGGCAAAAGTAATTTTGAATTCATAGCGTAGGGTGGCAGGGCCGTATATGTATAGGCAACTATGGATAGCAGTGGTGACTTAATAATAAAATGGGAAATAACTGCACCTATAGCGAAGTCACTTTCTAGGATAGTCATGACGTTGTTGTCAGTCATCACATATGGAGGGGTTATAACTGTTCCTATAAATTTCTTGCACTCCAAGTTGCGCGTACATCCCAATTACGAACAAGAAAAACTGTTCGAACCACATGAATAGTATATTTTGGATATGGATTGCATACTTGTGTTGAATGTTCCGGATAAACAGCGTGGTGTGCATTATGGCCATCAGAAAAAAATCTGTGGTAGCGGTAGGACCTTGTTGAGAATGGATCTGGCAAGAAGTGGTATTCGACTACTCAAGATTGACGATCGACACGATTACAGGCGCTCCCCCGTTTGTTTACCGAAGGCTTCTACTGACATCACAATGGTCAAAGGATACATATTTTGAACGCCTGACTGGGGGTTCATTGGACCATACGAAGAAGCAACATACGAGTGGGTGTGGACGATAAGTAATGAGAAAATGCAAATGGAATAATGGTGCGAAGCGCTACATTATTCTCAGGAAAAAGAATATCATAATCACTACGAATTATGAGTTGGGGCCATATCAAACAGACTTCAAGCACAGGTTGGCGTCAAACGCGAAGCCTAACAGCCATTACTGTACCAAGTTACCGGTGAATTATTTCTTACTCGGTTTCCATGTCATCCATTAGCCCAAGCATAATTTACTGCGGGTGTATCTCGTAGAAACCTAAGGGTGGCTGGGAAGCTAGTTAGGCTGGATCCATAATGCGCGTCCAAGCTGTTGATACATAGTACCTGTCTCATTAGTATTTCGTAAGGCGCGTCGTCGCATCGCCACAATACTGACACACGGGTGCCACTAAATGCAAGGGACACTAAGTAAAACATGACCATCGAATGCCTTGAGCCGCCAAGTGATATCAGTCCGACAGTCACATTCATAACAAAGCAAACCTTTGACCGACACACCGTAAATCCGTCCTTCCAAGGGAAGTTTAGTGTCGGACTTCATTCACAGGTGCTACAGACAGGCGTGTTGATCAACTAGTCTTAAAGTATATGTTTCGTACCTAAGGTCCTCTACGATCAACTCGTCCAGGATATTATGATCTGTGCAGTGTCTTGCTGATTGCCAAACAAAACCACATTGCCTGCATAGCCCAAAGCATGGATTAAACACTCAAGAGCTGGTTCAAGGCCATCACCAAAAGAGCGGCTTCAACGATGTCGCTAACCGCAGGCTCAAGTGAGATGAGGATATGACACCTTTGGTGTAACGCACTCAACATTAAGAAGTAGAAAGACGAGTGGTTGCACCCTCGTACACAACCGGAAATTCGACCACGTAACCGGTGGAAGATATCAAGGAATGCAGCAGGTCCGATTGACTTACAAATTGAAAAAAATGGGCACCAAAAAATGACAAGTGTTAGTTGTCCCTGTGTGAGATGGTGCTTTAGTATTTGCTCAACTGTACAGATTTGGTCAATACAACCATGTCCAATGCAGGAAACGGGTTGTCCCCCATTGCGAATTTGGAATTCGTATGACTACTGAGTCTTCGAAACCGCGAATAGCGAACTATGGTTACGGTGTTTTGACCAGTCCACTATATCTTTTGCGAACTGAAACCACGACGCACTCTGATCAACACGCCGGAAGGCGATCAGGTGCCAAAACCTGTGAAAATAGATCCGCCAGTTTGCCATAAATAGTACTTTGTTCTCGATTTTAGTTCCTCCTGTAGAGTGAAGTCCGAGAACAAGCCGAATTGCTGTCCATATGGCATAATCCGGACACACTCATGTGATATGGGGAATTTTCAGGGCGACTCACGCGACAAGGCCTTCATAGGCAGATGCATCTACTGCCTTTGCACGTCCAGGAACAGACAGTAGGGTGTGAAAAATGTGGGCCACCAGATCCTAAGCTTATCTCCCACTTCATCCAGTCCAACGTCTGACAGAGTTTGCTGCTCTAGACCGTGTACGTCTAAGTATGGCCCGCGACGTAATAGATGTCAATGGACGCTGGTTGCTGGGTCTCCTCCAACTCTATACTAGTCTAGTGGTAAACTGTTGACTGTTGTAGACAGGGAAAAGTCTGAAAATGGGTAAGTTGACAGAAACACCTCCACTAGGCGCAGCTGTCGGGTGATTACGATGGAATTAGCTGTCAATGAGCCAGGTTGAGGTGCGAAATCTCTTCCGGTGGCAGTAGGTGGTATTGAACGTTCTGTCGCACCTACAATTGTGCACGATGACAGCCGATAATTCAGAATGAGCGAAAGCGACGGTGAGTGCCATCTGTTGCTAAAGCACGTTCCATCTTTGCAGTTGGTGTATCACAACAGTGCTCCGCTGTATTACATTTTGTTAGCCGTAAGTTTCATGAGCTGAGTCAACCGAAATTGTATGAAGGCACAAAAGTTAAGGGTATTCTACTGGGACACATGGTTTCTGGCTGCACCTATTTTCTCCGTAGACAGTGATTCCAAAGCAAATTTGACGGACGAGCAATATTCACCCACGAATCCGAAGAGTTTGGCACCGATTGAAAAGCAACAACAGTCTGGAACCGTTCTCGCTCCCATTCCGTTGCGTCAGTAAGCTGCGATGAGCGCAGTCAACATACATATAGGCGAGACTTTGTACACGTCAGTTTGTTCTGGTAAAACCGACATCCTTGTAATGACCTACATTATCGACGACTGACTGATCTGGGTCGTGTTGGGATGAGGTCCAAGTAGTGAAATGTCACTGACGATGTCAACTCGCCACTCGCGGGCGGTGTTTAGCGTATAATCCCGTAAGGTATTCTTCCAATTTTTGTTGGCGTCTTCAGCGAGGTAGAATTGGCTAATGTACGATAAACTATCACACTACTATAAGTCCCCACAATTCCCAACTCGGCCAGCTACAGCGGCCGCGGAGGACCTCGAGAAGTAAAAGTCGGGATGACATTTGGTTTCTCTTTATGATAAGCTAGGATGAAATGTTTCTTCGGTGTGGTGCAGTCTTTCAGCTGTAGCACCCTTTGGGTGCCTAGCTACCGTGCCACCCGAAGGAAGCACGAGGGCTGAGATACTGCCTGGTTGCAAAAGCCCACACAGGGGAAGTTGAGAGGCAGAAGTCGGTTCGAACCACGAACCTTCTGGTCATTAAATTAGCGCTCTAATCACTTGAGCGGTGCAGTCCAAAGCAGCGGCTATTGAGGGCCGAAAACGCATCTAAAAATCGGGCGGACTGTGGCCTGGTCGACATCTTTTAAACGATACGGTCCAAACCTAGTGAAAAACGTGATAACTATAACAAATTGCCATCTTCATTTGCACTAAAACCAACTCCAAAACCTCGAACAAAAGCAAATCAAGTCTCCATTACACAAATACAGTGAACAGCTTGGTCGATCTTCAACCGGACAAGGCAAAATACACTTGGGTAAGACCTGAAAGTGCCACTTACCGGTCCAGATAAAATGAAAATACGGGCTCAGGAACCAAACCTTGGGATATCATGTTATCGAACAAAGTCGGCACTCCGTCCACAGAAATGGATTTGAAACCCATTCCCAAGATCCCATCGAACTTAGCTGCCACAAATGCAATACCCGGTTCCTTCATGGCTTCTCCGAAGGTCTGATTTTTCACGATTACCGTACCTACCTGCAGAGAAAATGATCAGCAGGCGCAAGTTAAAATACTCACTGAAACGTAATCCGTACTAAGTATTCCGGAAACGCTGCCACTTCCATATCGAATGCTGAACTCCGTCCCATTAGGATAATATGTGCTGGATCTTGCACTGTCGTATTTGTGATGCAGCCAACAAGCTATATTGAATATGCTGCAATGTGTAGAAGGCACCCAAAGATTCGAAGAACCAGTATCAAACACTACTTGAAAGGACTGAGGCGGTGTTCCTATGCCGATTTCCCCATAATATTGCGCCTGTAAATTACACTTGACTGAGTCCCGAACTTACATCAAGGTAGTTGTTCAGCATCTCCGGTATAGATCCATTGCCAACAAAGCTTATTGAAGTGAAGTTCAGTTGCTCAACCGGAGTGCCGACCTCCATCAGTCGGCGTCTCACATTTTTGAATCCGGTTAGAGGAATCCTGAAGAGTGATAGAAGCAGATGGTACTTACCGAATCACGCTGCATTCGCTGGTGGTGAGAAGCACCCACAACAACAAAGCCAGGTGAGTCATTCGGAAGGGGAAGCTGCAGAATTTGCAAAGATCTAACTAGATAGGTCGGAGCAAATTAGCGCTCTGGTTGGCTTACGGGCTCACGAGTTGACACGCGGGGTCAAGGCTTTCGCCCAAGTTTCCCGGGTGGGCTTGTTCAGGTCGTTCAGTGGCTTCCGTTCACCTGAAACACACATGTTCTTTAATATATCCGAATGGGGAAGCTAGCTCGCAAAACTATGAAACTGATTTAAACTGGGTACTTGGTGCAGCATTAACAGCCGTTAGAAGGGTATTCCACGTGCTAACAGCCTGGAATGAGAAAACTTGTTATCTTAAGAAAGTGTTTGCTGAGAGCTAGAAATTTTTCCTACGTACCCACCACATATTAGTTGAGTTAACGGTGAAAACCCGCTGGCCAAACCTTGTTCAAAACACCACTTTGTTCAATAGGTCGCACGGGATTTTATGAGATTATTCTGGATTATGGATTACATTACCTCTATTAATCCCGAGGTAAGAACTTAACTTCACATGGACCACCAAACGCGAACTTTTGGGTATTTTTAATGAGCATAAAAGCTGTACAAGTGAATGGAATGCCAAGGGACCTTTCACTTGGGTCGTCGGGCATCGATTTTGCACTGGATGAAACTAAGCAGGACTTCACCACCTGTAGTGCTGAGCAGCAGAGAATCGACTTGGATGGCAAGTACGTCTTGAATGCGCGTATAGATAAGCGCCATCCAAGAAGTCGGCGCCACTCCAGTTGGACCGCCGAACAACCAATGAAGAGTAATAAACACTTCAGTGAATGGTCACCCAGCGTGATACGCAGAACAAGCGAAGTATTGGTTTTCGAAAGGCGATGCCGACGTTTTGTGCCACTTTAGAGTTAATTGCATCTGAAATAAGCAGGTGATACATCTCCTGTTTCTTCAAATAGACGTTGCCGAATGGAAAGTCAATGCCGCCCTCCAAATTGGATGGCTGATGCATACCTTACAGTGTGTATGCGTACCACCACAGCAATAAAGAAGTGAATTCGTGGCATTGAATCCGGGGCAACTAAAAAAGAACCACCTTAATCAGTTCTTCGTAGTCTTACAGAGCTTTGCGCACATGGTGGTGCTCTCGTGGATTCAGCCACCGAAGTAACGCGGCGCGTTTGAAATCCAAACATTTCAAGCTGGACCTACCTGGATGAGGCTGTGAGATAATTTGTATCATTATAGATGGCCAATTTCACCATTATTCGTGGCAGGAGCTTCCCATTCTATGAAGTGCATGGAAGCCTTCACCGCTCAAGATTTCTCCGCCCACAAGAACTTCCAGCCTCCCAAATCGGCAGGGATATCGTGCATGCGATTTTTCGGCCACTAGACAAGTTGTGTATCAGTGAAATTTCTGAGAGCACTTTTCCACGACCATGACTGTTACTGGGCGTAGCACCCCGTCGGCGGCTCGTCTTTCCACCGGACGGGCTATTCTGCCCTTTCCCGGCCTTGCAGCTATGAGGGAAAACTCTATACCGACTCACATCTTTTCCCAAATATCCACTCACTCCAACTATATTGACCGACTTGTGGCACTCACCTTCATGTGTTTGAAATCCGACCTGCTGGACCAGCTACAAGAATCACCTTCTCAAACTGCTTATTTGGGCTTATTACGGAGTTCTGACAGAAGGCCCGCATGCAATTATTGGAAGACAGACTGACCCAGTCACTCCAAATGTGCATTACCATTCAGAGGTTCCTCTCAGACATCGATATGTACTGCGGCGAAATAAGGCCGATCAATAACAGCGAAATCTCTAATCTGATGACGCAGTCGTAGGCACACTTATCAGAGGCATGTATGGCATATTTCACATCAGTGTCCGGCTCTTTTGGGTAATTTGTCACAAGCTTCCCAAGTCATTCATTAAGCAAAATGAGAGACATGCCGGCTAGTTGGCTGATTTACTGCGTTCAAACGGTAGTCCACAATAGAAGAAGCATATGTTTTTTTCCGTTGCGCATCCACCAAGAATGAACTCCAATTTTCTTTATTGACTGTGAGAGGGAGATCATAACGGTAGTCCCATTATGTAGCTAATACAGCTGTAAACGGTGCATGGAGACCTTCTTTAGTTGCGGTGGAGTGACGCGCAATAGTCGCTCCAAGTCATATCGACTTGGCTGCCCGATTATAAGCTCTCTCAGTATAACTGGAATCCAGTTGCTCTAGTACCTGGATGTCATAGCGCTCGAGCTAATTCCTTGCGATCCGGCTATATGAAACGAGAAAGCGCGTCCTGATTGGTCAGAATGCGAGTCAATCTAAATCGAGCATCTTATCTAGGAGCTTATCGTATTATCACGGAGAACCTGGGTTTATCACGTAGAAACATCCGTGATATCCCCACAAACAGGCCCGTGATAGTCGCCTTTGTCTCAACAACAGGCTACCTCAATTCGTATTACCTTTGCAATGGTCCAATGGGTGGAGCAGGGGTCCAAGGAATGATACGAGAGCCATCAGCACCTTTTGAGAGACGCGACGTCGAGCACGTACAATGTGTTTGGATTTCGTCAAATGTGTACCACATACGCCGCGAACTATGCGCCCAATCACATCAAAGTGCTACAACCGACAGGTTCATGGGGCTGAAAAACCACGACAAATAATGTCCATGGCTCTCCAATATGGGTATTGTTGGGTGAAGGCCGTTGAACACTGGAAGTTGGATGTGTTAGGAAATGTTTGCCTTACACGAACACGGTTTTCTTGCGTGACTTCGAAACCGCAGATGTACATAGTTATCTAATGCACCACGGAACTGTGCGTACGCTATCTGCCCGCGTCCTTTTGCAGAAGTCTGGTGACGCTGACATCCTCGGGGCACATCAGTTTTACTATCTAACCACGTACCTCAAAAATACTTCCCTACCAGGTGCTGGGAGAAAGGCGATGGGCCCTATCTTTCCATGACATAGCGGTCAGGGCCTTTTGGCCGACGTGCTATATATTGTTACCTCATGGGATAGGAACCGGGTGACAACCGTTTATTCCGTGCCTATGTTACCCTTTTCTTCTTCCACGGTAAGAGGCATGAATTTTCTCCCGTTGCAACTGCGGACGAGACCACTGAGAGCCGTGCGCAAAAGAGAATGTAAGATTCTGCCTTATATCTGGTATATCCGCTCACTAATTCGTCCGTAAAACACCTCGGAATGCTTCTAACCACCAGGGCGTTTAAACAAGGCGCTCTGACAACGACAGAGAGGACAGTGTGAATGGCCCATTGCTGTTTATTGCGAGGGAAGTCTACGAAGCTTCTGAGAAAAACCCCTAAACATTCGGCAAGCAACTGTTTCAAGTTAGATTGGCATCCTATGTTTTATGTGCAACTGTTCACTTTCTCGTTATTCACAAAGGTGAAGAAATGGATGTGGAATTTTCGGCACAGATAATTAACTTATAATTAGCTTGCACCCCCAATAGTTACGCCTGGAGGATAGATCTTAGGTGCACGTTAGTAATCCATGACATTTTGAGTGGGAGTAATGTCACAGCTGCGCCGCTGTTATGTGCCGCACGTGTAGTTTTCATTCTTGTTATTATTATTAGATGCTTAATATCTCTCACGTCATAACACTCAATGTTTACATGCCGGTATCAGTACTCTACATTTGATGCAGCCTCCTCGCAGAAATAATTGAGCAGCTTTGACGGGTGCTTCTAAATGACCAGCCCTTTTGATGCAAGTGGGAAGGCCACGTACGATGAGCATTAGCCAAATAAAATGGAGAAGTTCCACATTATTTTACAGATGCTTACATTTCAGGCGCGGAATATTATCTACTGAACCTTGACGCCTTAATTTTTGTAGTAAAAACACTCCCTCAACATGGGCTACAGATGTAGTTTACCTGACCGAAAATTCTCAGTACCACCTCTGTTGCAGTAGGCTGTAGGCAAATTAGCTTACACATTGGTGCCAGAATCCTATCCACGAATGACAGTAAGCGAGGATTTGTGATCAAAATCTTCGACCTGTCACCAAATGAATTCCTGAAGATATAGTTGGTGGTCTCATCACTCTGGTGTGGAACTTGCGAGGACCTGTTGTTGCCAGCACCAAATGGACAATTTTTAATTACACAGTGATGGTCTCGTGGGCCAGATAAGATGGACTGATATTGTGCGTAACCGCACGCATTACCGAATTCCCCGTGCAAGGAAACGCATCGAACTACCTTGTAGTCCGGCCTGCACTTGCAACCGCATCCACATGGCCACCGGTCTCCGAGGAGAGCAAGGAGTCGAGATTAGTGTATAGAGATCAAACCACAAGGTGGATAATTTTTGTTAGCTTAATTATTTCGGCACTACTAGTGCAACCGCTGTAAATGCTAACAAAAGAATTTTTGTCCCCGCAACCAGTGTGAGGATTGAATTCATTTCCATTTGGGTGAGGATAAGCCATGAGAATGCAAATGTACGGGAAAAAGCGTAGGGCATAACGGTGGAATCGTCTGTGGCATTGATAGAGGGGTACATCGCAGGCAATACAAACAGCCGGGATCAGGACTTCACGGAACGATGCAGAGGATTACTTTTTATGCCCAATTTCTTAGGTTAGTTTTGTTCTTGTCGTTTGGTTTTTACCATTGGCTGTAAGAACACAAGCTAAAAAGAGTGCAGCGCTGTTCTTAAGCTTCTCAGCGCGGACTACGAGCCTGTCACCACGAGGACTCACAAAAAACGCCCAAAAGTGCCTTGGACTGTGTACCAGATGCATCGCGAACAACTGTCGGATTGAGGTAATCCCATGCACCTACTACACGAAATGTTGTATAATAAAGTTGTGCACTCTGGGCCTGAAAAAAACTTTAACCATGTTCCCGCCAGGTCTAAGCTGGATCGACGGTGAAAAACCTGTATCCAAACCTTGTTAAAGCGAGGCACAAGTAAGCATTGAGTCTCCTCGGAGCCGGTGATACTCCAGGTGAAGGAGTCCATCCACCGATAGA